ACTGTACTGCAGAAACTTCTGACATTTCAGTTTCATACGCCGTTGCTGTTACAGGTCTTCTTATAACCCAATTGTGGCACATCATCAATATCTTTCCTAGAGGTAAATGGGATTTCGAGAAAAATGTATCTAAGGAATCTATAAACTAAAAAATAACGGCATACCATCTCGGACTGATTTTCTGCATCTGCAATCCTTGCAACGGTAAACATAACCGTCGATGCATTTAGTGTATCTTTGTATACGCATAACACCCCCGCACTGGCAAGTTTTAGATCTCGCTATGAGCCCGTTCTCCAAACAGTAATCGAAAACTAACTCTGGAGCGAATTTGCATCGCAAACGATGTACAGCATCCATTGCGAGTCAGATGATTGCCTGTTCAAGGTCATTCATCAAGGTAATCCGTTCTCAAGGTTGTTTTGGGTTCCTAAAGTTTAGAGTCACCCAGGAACATCTCCCAATTCAGCATGGGACTGTCAATAGAGAAGCTGCACCACATTCTACACACATATTCGTCTAAATGACTGTAAATGAGATCTTTTTGCGATCCATTTATAGCCCGGATCCTATTTTTCAATCGACCCCAAAATCCTTCAATGGAATTTGTATAAGTCCCTGTAACTGGATCCACGAAATCATTTGAGTGGTTCACTCTACGATGAATGTATCCCAGCGATGACAATGAATTATAAAATTTCCACTCGTCGGTATGTACAGTTGATCCCCTTTTGACAAGTCAGATTATAATAGGTATCAGAGTACTCGCCTTCCTGTCTGCTATTCTTTCAACAAATCCTTGTCGGAGGGACGTGTCGTATCAACCTATTACCCATATGTTGTTACCTCTCTGACGACCACCGTTATATTTCTTCTTCACCAGCACTGTCTCGTCCACATGCACTACTACGTCATCCCAGCCTAACAACGAAGTAATTCTCTCCATTTTCCATGAGGCGATGTCTCTACAGTGCTGATACCATTGGACTGTTGAAACGAGGCTATTCTCCGTCTCCGCAGCTGCCGCTCTCACTGGCTGCTTCAATACCCAATAGTTGCAGATATATAAAATCTGGGTTAGGGAGAGATGTGACCTAGCAAAAAAGATCCTACGAAATATTAAAATTAGCAGCTTACCCTCTCTAATACTAACTCACTTCCAGAATATTCCACAACAGTGGACAAATCCATCAGTTGACCTGGTATAGCTTTTTATAGTCATAACACCACCACACGAACAACTTCTCTCCTTTCAAAGCAAGCCTAAGTCCAGGCAATACTGAAAGACACAATCCTCCTTGAATTGAAAACGTAACCTTGTAAGGGCACGCATTGTAAATGAATCAAGCGCTATACAGCATTGAACTACGTTCGTGAATTGCATTGGATAATTCGACGTCGTTCGCCGATTGGTAGTTAGTGGTGTCCAAAGTTTAACTTGGCCGAATATTACACGTCAGGGAAAAGTATCATGTGCAACAGCTGCATGCTTTTCAATTCATGATTCTCATGAATATACTTATCTTATACACAAAAATCGTCTTTACCACATGTTTGGCGCGTTTTAAGTCATTTATCCGTTGGTACTTACTGGTGCTCAAAGTTTAACTTTGCTCTGTATCTATCTTCTCGAAGTCCTAAAAAGCAGGCGTGATTTAGAATGACCTTTCACAGCATTCCCAGTTCCTTGTTACTTCTTGAAGGCCAACTTTCGGAAGACTTTGACACTTTAACTTTACCGCAAATTTCATGTAAATCTAGTATTTAGACACTGCTTAGACCACGGGCCCATTGAAAGGGGAAGATGTGTAGTCAACTGTCACCCGTGGACTATATTCATCTTGTGGTCAGTAATACGGCCGATTTCGTTAATCCTTTCAATGAGAACACAAATTCCATTAAAAGATTCTAGAGCCAAATTAAGAGAGGACCGTAGCGGTGAATGAGTCAAGGAACTTGATTATTTGTAGTTATCTCGACGAATCTAGTTACCGAAATTGGTTTATTCTGAAAATGAGGACTCCTATGACAGACAGAAAAGTTTTCTTGGAACATATACAGGGAATTTATTCTATGTAACTACTTTTTAACGTTTAATTATTTATATATAAACCTCTTTTTCAAATAATGCACTTCTGCTTCGGACGCGTCTGATTGATCGACAGAGATTTGCCAAGGTCTTCGTTAGGTAGTGTCGTTTCGGGCTGCTGTACTTTAAAGTTATCTGGATGAGTGCGTCTATTACGCATAGTATGATTTTCCTACAGATCGTCTGTGTAGTGACTGGGGACATCCTTACAACACATCTGTGACAACTACATGGCATAATATCAAGTTTGCAATATTTTTCTACGAATGTGTGACGTCTTTGCACCTAAATTCTGACTGGTTGTCCAAGGTCACTGTGGTTTTGGATATGATAATTTGAATTTACCGAACAACCAATCAAATCTTTGGAGACAACAATTTGAGGGTATAAGTATAAAACTTGGGCACTGTGGTAGAGCATAACTCCATTATGGGTAAGATTTTATTTTGATAAATCACACAGTGTTGTACAGTAATATTAACTGATGACGTTTCGAGCATATTGATCAATAACACTCGTATTATTATTTCTGAATGTACATTATCTCATATTGAATTCTATTCCAATATCTAATCGATTCCACACATGTATATAAATGAAGGAAAGAAGTTGTGTGAGTAACTTGATATGATTATGAGCAATAGTTTGTGCTCGAAACGTCATCAGTTAATATAACTGTACTACACTGTGTGATTTATCAAAATAAAATCTTATCCATAATGGAACAACTTGAGGGGCAGTTCCAATGGTTTAAAGACATTTGCCGAGTACCTAAAAACTTCTGAATGTAATGCAGACCCTGGCCCTTTAAATATAACTGAGGTCTGTTATTTGAAACTGGGCAAAGCTAAAGGTCCGATGGAATGTGTTTAAGGACGGTGGCGACAAAAGGCTGTATGGTTTAACCAAAGTATTAGGCTGTGTTTAGTAATCACAGGTAGTCCCACTAGACTGGTGTGAGTTAATCATTATCCCAGCTAATAATGGAGACAAGTCTTCCTGTGATAATCATAGGAGGTAAGCTCTACTAACACACTACCTAGAGTTCCAGGTTTGGTAATCATGCACAGACTAATTGGTGTTCGGGAGAAACAAACCCAAGAGCTTTAGGCCAGGAAGAGGATGGACTGATCACAAATTCACCCTTCGGAAGATTCTTGAGCCTAGGTATACGTACAGTCGTCCACAAATTGCCGCATTTGTCTACCTTAAGGCGGTATTCGACTGTCAACCGAGTGGAATTGTATTAATGTGCAGTGATAAATGGTATATAAGGATAGCATATTGCACTTTTCAAATCACTCTGCTTGAACCCAAGAAGTTGTGTTAGGGCTTACGGAGAGTCATCATCCGGATTAGCGTCAACCAACAGGTGTGCCCATTGTCTCCATAGACGAATTAATGGATGTGACCCTTATCTAATTAGGGAGTGCCTTATTATTACAAGTGAGGATCAAAAGTTATCGTTGTGCAGTATGGAGAATGTTACAACAGATATTCCAGTTGATGAGACAACTGTGACTTCCGATATGACTAGAGCATTTCTGTAAGCTTGTATTATAACATCATAGCATAACATACCATAAGTCATCACTACCTGAGAAAATTCAAATGGTAATTGAATGCCACCATCCTACCTGCACAATGAGGAATAATTTTGGTATATTTGAGACACCGTTTAACCCTGCCAACATGATGCTGTAGGACTGGTCTGGGAGTGAAAAAGCAGAGCGCAATGACCATCTAACTCAGTTGCATCAGTCCAAATAGACTTATTCTTGACGAAATCTCAGCACGGACACAAACAACTCGTGCGTCACTTACATCATCTCCAGTAAAAACTTGATACTCGCTAACACCAAAGGACGTGTGTACTGCGAAGTTATGCTTCATCCTCAAGAGTGAAACATATGAAGAGGTTAGTTGTCTTTGTCCATAGGTATTTGCGTTTCGTCCATCATGTAAAGATGTATAACACAGCCAGGAATACTGAAGTTAGGTAAGGAGTGGGAGTCAAGAGATGAGGTTGTGAAGTCACACAAACTGAGGAGAACACGATACGTACGAAACACGTCAGGCTGCCTCCAAGCAGTGTTAGATGTGATAAGATTAAGTTGGAAGAGCTAGGTATCAACAAATTCATAACCTGCACAAATGCATGAAGTCTTTGACTGTTGGATTTGACCTACATGAGGTGGTTCTTGAAACACTAAGAACCTATGGGAGTAGACATGACACACAATTACTCTCAATGTCGCAGATGTATCCACTACTTATGAACTCCTAGATGCACAGATTCTCAGTAACATGGGTGACATTTCTCTTGGCGAATTCTTTCGTAAAGGTCAAATACTCATCAATGCATAAAATAAAGGAGGATGACGGATACGTCCAGACACATAAGTAGTCGTTGGTTGTCCACTTGTTTTGATCAAGAGACAGTGATATTATTTATCTGATTAACAATCCGATGTCGACTCATTACATTGATCAAGGACTTCTGGGAAATTCTACAGGTCTAATCCTTCACTTAATCTTGATGGTAAAGTAAATCACTGAGCCATCACAATGACTGGATTGTTGCACCGTCAGAGTGAAATTTCATGCTATAAACGAAACACTTTTAGGGTAACTTTCTTTCTGTAACTGTAGGGACTTGGGGGAAAATTTCAGCTTGTGATATGAAAGTCAAGACACAAAAATAAGGTAACTGTTGTCTGGGCTTATACGTACGCAAAAAATAGAAATGCATCAACAGAATATGTATGTTACAAATATAGACAAAATGTAAAAATTAACATAATGCTGCAGAAAATAAACACACATACAATGACTCAATAGTTCTGCGGTGGTGTGAATATAAAACAAGAGAAAGGACAAACTGAGTGGGCTGCAAATAGAATCGAGTGCACTATGTGCCGAAGACTTTCACTGAACGATCACGACTAGTTGAAATAATTGTAGTTGCGTTCTCACCAAAACGAACACCAGTTGCAGGGGCAGTATGAGCGTTGAAGGAAATCAGCTGGTCCCACTGTTTACATAAATACACGCGTACATCAGCACCAGCAATAGCAAGATATGAACCAGACTGGTCGAATTCTACATCATTTATTTCGTACGAAGATGACTGATCCTCTGCAGGAGTCTAAAAATAAGAAGTAATAAGGAAGTAATGAAAGTTATTCTAGTATATAGGTCTCAGTGAAATATCCATACAAAGAAATGATATCACAATTAATATAACTAAAACACTTTAAGAAGGTCATAATGGAGTGCTTTGAATGGAGTGTATGCCATGCTAAACAACATACATTCGAAATGGATACTGAAAACAACTACTACTTACCAAGGTTTTGAAGTTCTTTAATTTTCGTAAGTCCCAAAGTTTTACTTGATTATCTGCCCCACTTGTTGCCAGGTAGTATCCATTCTCTGAAAAAGCCACAGCTGTTACGGGCTGATTAGCACCAGAGCCATGAGCAAAATTAGCAACGTTTCGTCTTTCTTTAACATCCCATATTTTCACCTCACCATCAGCGGTACCCGTACCAAGAATGAGACCATCTGGATGAAACTGTGCACAGGTGAGGGCTACAAGTGTAACAAAAACAGTTTTTAGTATTAGGAAGAAAGGTAAGACAAAAAATTTCCATTAAAGTATCCTGATTAAAAACGCTTAAAAAACTACGATACTAAGATAGTAGGACGAAGGTGTAAAACTTATAAAACTGTAACTGATGATGACTGGAGTCTATTTAGTTACTTCGGTTGGAAGTGGGAAACAAACCGACCAATGTAATAAATTTTTAAGAGACTTGACGAATCCAAGAGAAATTTCAGAACAAACCACATATGACATTTTCAGGGACATGTGAAAACCATAATTAAACTTATTTTCAGACACGTATTTATACATGCAGAGCAATAAAAGCCACAGAAATTTATACAGTTTGCTTAAATTTATATATCACTAACACTGGACATTCATTCCATAACTGACCAGAATAAATGGATGCATATGAGATAAAAACGACCAACAGTCTACTGTCAATCTAACTAACGAAATACGATTGGAAGAGTTTACCAAAGAAGATATGTCTAGTCTGCACCAGAAAGACTTCTATCATACTGATATAACTTTAAACTATTGATTCTACATAAAGCAAAACTGCAAATCGAAAGTCATATAAAAACTTATTACGAAGTCTAGGTTTTTTGTTGACGTAGTAATATGCTTTCAAAAGAACATCGAAAGCAACTCAAAGAATTGAAATCAAATGAAAACCTCATATAAAAACTCTTAAATTCCGGGATTGAGAAAATAGTACGCGGATATGCTAATCTTACTCATCTTCTGGTATTAATTAGGAAAGATAGAACTCCAGTGAAACGTACCGAAACTCATCCTGTCAATAAAACTAAAGCCACTGTATGGAGTTTTGTCAAGGACATGTTACTTCATATTACTACACCTTATAAATTGAGTATTCGAATCTCACTACCTGAAATGCGCGAATTCTATTGTGATAGTGAAGGAAATGGAGCAACAAAACAAATTATGTTCATGATTACCTTAACAGACGATAGTGAAATAAAAAGATTTCATTCAATACAATAGTAATCCATAGAATACCTTCCGACCTGAAGAGGTGGGCGGCCTTAATGAAGTAAAGAAAAACAGAGTGAAAACCAAATACGAGGGAAATCTCCAGAACTCTACATGAAGGGAGGAAAATAAACTGCACACACATCGAAACGGAAATACCTTATGAGTTGATATAAAAAGAAACATATTTCATCTAAGGGAAGGCATTATCAATATAAGGTTGATAAATTCACATACCAAGCCATTAAAATATTTCAGGTATAAGGTATTATAGATTCCTAACCACTTATAATAAGTGAAATTCAAAAATTAACAAAGAAGGGTGTTGCGTGCTTCACATGAGGGATGTTCACCTAAATGCGGTGTAACAATCACACTAATTACTGTCTTGTGATATGAAAAGACATCAAACAAACAGTTGTAAAACGATTACCCACACTCAAGGCAACAATTAATTCAGAAAATTCAAGTCTTAAAGTCGACCAATTGAAATGACTTACCTTGTGTACTGCCAGATTTATCTGCAGCTGAAATTCGAACCAGAACGGATCCGTGTCGTAAATCGCTAAAGGCCCACTGACCATCTGAGCTGCAGGACAACAGGTAATCTCCAGTTGCATGAATACTTAGCCCAGTTACAGGTCCTTTGTGGGCGCGAATAATACTCGCACACTGACCTTGTTCTACTCCCCAGACTCGTACAGTTGTATCTGGAGAACCTGTGAACACTAATTGTTCAGAAGGATGATATACAACTTTTGTAACTTTTTTACTATGTCCCTTGAGAATAGATATGACCTGTAAAAGCAAAAAAAGTAAACGTGAAAAACTTAAGTTGTTAAAATACATCAAGATTATAAGTAGGAAAGATGAGAAACCATAGTGAGTAGCATTACTAGATGCATGACCCATTTTTATTTGCTGTTTTGGACAAACTTTAGGATTGAGCAGAAAAAACCTGTGGATTCGAGACTTCATTTGTTATTGTCACCACAGACTAAGAATTTTTCCAAAACCTAATTTGACCACAAGTAGCCTATCAATTCATAGCAATTTGAACCACTTTTGGTGAGTCAGTGCCTATCTGCTCCATACAGAAGGTCATTTAGTAGACAAGTTTAATACAGCTAGGACGGTAAGTGATGATACTCAGCTCACAATTAATCACAGTTTGTCTAAAAATATGCCCCAGTTTTATCAATGATTAAATCTCGTGGTTTTCCTTTTGCCAAAAGCATCCTGAATAATAAAGGCTTGAGAATTATTACTGTGAGATTCTATATCATAAAGCAGGTTACACTTCTCAAATTGAATGTTTACTACTGTAAAATGAACACAGACGAAATCATGACCAATAAAAGAGCAACTGCAACGACTACAACTAAAATAAGCATATTCAGAAAATTATTCTCCCGACTGTAACAATAATCAGTAGTTACCACTAGTTTTCCCTAAATTGAATCAGACTACTGATATTTCCAGTGATTATATTTTTTGAGAAGAACAATTATGCCGCAACAACTAAAACTTACTTGTGCCGTGGAAAGATCGAATACTACCGCATTTTTGTCATTACCACCTGTTACAATTCTCTCAGTGGACGTCTTACTTATGTCCAAACAATTGATACCAGGCATACTGGCAGAATGCAAACCAACATGATTCGCCAGCTGTTGGTATTCAGAAATAGAACGAGATTTGGCTAAACCTTCTGGGACTGTTTTTCCACGACGTTTTCGTTCCGCAGTAAGTTGACTAGCTCGTTCTTGTAGAGTGCTTATCACCTCTTCACTTATACCAATTTCTTCTTGTAGCTGAAAATATAAAAGAAATTAAGAATGAAACAAGCATTTGAAGAGAAGTTCACAGAGAAATCAACTAAATAACCGAATAATCACTTGGCTTGAAAATCATGCACTAATGTACGTCAAAATCTTACACTTGATTTGTAGATAATTAAAACATTTAGAACATACTTATGTTTGCTAGTCATTATTCAACACTTAACTGATATCTGCACAGCGATTATTACTAGTTTTAAAAGTAACCTTTGCAATTGTCCGTGATTGCATTTTATATTAAGGTGAATGAAAATCAGTTAATTTCATCAAAATTTGGACCGAAATAATTTTCAAGCTCAAGATTACATATAAGTTGCACAATCAAGATAAAAAAACCCACAAATACAGTGGAAAAATGGGAATCAGTGAAAGTAACGTTGAGAATAAATCTATTAGAGTACAATTAGTCATATATAACCATAGGATAACTACACTTTTACGTCAACATTTTAGCTAGACCAGTTCACCTAAATGATGTGTACTGAATTCTGGAAGCCGTATTTTAAACAATAATGCAGTTTGTCTAGAACACTGTTCATGAGATACTTAACTTTACACTTTAATTTTGCAGTGTTTCAGAGATACGAAGCCGTAAAAGTGAGGTAATACAAAGAGGACTTGTGTGTGCTTTAATATTTTGTTGCATATTAACGAAGGAAATACTACCATCTGCCAAAACGAAAAAGATTCTGTTTGACTGTCCTATAAAAGATTATGAGAAGTTAATCTAAATGTCTGATGCGTTAAACACAAAGCACCTTTAGAAGAACTCGAATACCTAGGTACAAAAGTCTGTGACTGATTTCATTAGGTTAACGTAAAGCGTCAGATACTTGCTCAACCAGACGGAGAGATTACAAAGAAATCATGCATATATATATATATATATATATATATATTCACTTAAAAGTAATGACCTATATAAAGATAGCACACGTGTAATACAGCTATACATCTATAATCTAATAAAATCAAAACTTGTGAAATTTATACGAAAACTGGAAGGTTAATTCGATCAAAAATATATTTGAGTGGGAAAAAAGCCCTACTATCTGAATTAAACTTACTGATATGAAAATCAGACAAATGTAACTACTATTAATTTAGGTTACTTTTGAACACATATTTGTGTAAAACTTGGGCACTGTGGTATTATGTAATTCCATATTAATTTGTTTACTAGACATATCACACAGTGAAACAGTATTATTTAATGGATGACGTTTCGGACGCAGTTTATTGTTCATAATCACATCAATTATAACCGCACAACCTCGAAAGTTTCGAAGTTGTGTGTGTGACCAATTCTACACATTATGCTAAAAAAGCTGCGAGATTTTAAAACACAGTGCTATCACGTCAAGCGTTTCATGTTACCTCGTTTTTTTTCTTACGACATAATGCATACTCATTAGTGAAAATGTATTCAAACTCACTTGATTCGAATCTGCCGTAACTGCGTTTTCTGCTGGAGTCTCTGGATGCTGAGGGGCCGCGGAAGCTGAGACAGCTGGAGCTTGGTGAGTAGTGGTATTCTGGATGTTAGCTTGAGCTGGTTGTATTATTCCAGCCTGTGGCTTCAATGTGGCTAAAGCTTCACGTGCAGCTGTAACTTCCTTCGTTAACCTGAAAACCAGATTTTATTCAAGTCAAAAACGTTTCACTGTAGGGCAGCCAGAGCGAATGAAAAGTAGAAATTTACCAGTAAAAAGTGTAAACTAATTTTGTAGCTCAAAAATTACTTTAAAAGAGTATTGTACCACCTCGCCATATCTGTTACGGTATGTCGAACTTACAAATGAAAGGCGACTGGGACATATCAGTATGATCACCGAGAAATGTAAATCAAGGTGACTAAAAGCATCTACATACAACTACCACAGCCTCAGTACACAGAGAAATTTTTCAAATTTTCAGGGAAGACAACCACGGTCGAAAATTCCGATGTTTTTTTAAAAACTTAAGTTGCTACACACTAGCATAATGGAAGCAAATTAAACGAAAACATAACGTGACAGTCGTTATGTAGCATTAATCCGAAAGAGCATACGACATTACGAACAAACGTTGAGATGGGAAGTAGCATTATGATGTATGCTGCTTAAAAGTAACGTCGGGCAAACAGCTAGAAAACTAATCAACTTATGTTGAACCAACTAATGTTTTTAAGAAAAAGACTAAATTGTTGAATATATATAAGAAAGCCAAAAGAAGTGATTGAAAATAGATATATCGCATATAGAAAGCAAATGCAATCTTCACAAATTAAATTGAATGGAACTTCAGCCAAATTATTGATGACTGACAAATTACAGCAAGGGTTCGAACATGTGTACATCAGTTCTTACTTCATTCATAGTAACCTCATATTTAGTAAAAAACAATCCGCTTAAGTCACTAATCTTTTACAATACTCCTCATGACATACTAAGCAAAGATTAAAATAGGCAATTACGATTCTGAAACAGTAGCAGCTTCACAACACATAGTACAGGTGCAAATGACATCTTCATGCACTTCAATTTAATTTCATATTTCATGTAGTCGTATAAAAAATAATACTAATCCATAAAATACCTGGCGGTAGCGAAGACCCTGTGGAGAAGTGGGACCTAACAGTATGTTAAGAACTGGGTTTTAAAATCCTGGATGAATAGCAAGGATTTCAAATAATCATCGCCCTCTTCATCCTTTGTGTATAGCTGGGACATCAAGTCGATGATTTCATTTATCTCGCCTTTTGGTGTTGTTAAGCAATAAATGCATTTCAGAGACGTCACTAAGTGATGATACTGTTAGGAAAGCGATTGCAGCTTGATCATAACTAACTTAGATGCTAAACCACGTGTTACCATCTATACACAGTAGAATGTTTTAGACTCCACCCAGGGTGCCACAATGTACACAGGAACGTTAACCACACATAACTATCCTGCGTTCCACAAAGCAATGTCACTCACTGACAAATTCACTTTTTCCATCCAAACCAAGAGCTGGAAAAAAAGTGGACGGTAGGGAAACTACTAGTTACTTTTGTAGCACACATCTAAGCCCCCGGGGCCGGCATTGCGAAAGGAAATCACTTATTGGAGGAAGACTTTCATCACATCCAAATACACAGGCGACAGCAGATGCAAGTGATTTTACGAGAACAGTGATGGTCTGACCTCGTGTCATCGCACATTCTACGCTTAGGCCAGGTTTCACAAGCGTAGAGCGAAACTGTGTGTACTGAAGTACAGGAGGCCCAAATTTTGTTGGTCAGTGACTATTTAAACGGTGACGTCAACAGTTGCATTTCCGCAGCACAGACTACAAACCATAGGTGTAAACAGTGAACACTAACTTGTGGAAGACTATTGAGGCAGTTTACATTATCAAACAATAAGGTAATATTATCTGTACATGGTTGCAATTATTTCGAACGTCATCGATGGTAAATTTAAATAGAAATGAAGAGATTAGACTTCTTTGTTTAACTCACTGCTGCTTAAAAAGAGTGACTCATACAAACTCACCATACTTAAGATGTTTTAAATATGGTATTTTTATCATATAGATGAACTTTTAATGACACTAATGTCTAACAGATAGTCCTTCTTTGCTGACCGAAGGTAGCCCTGCCAACTTGATATTCAGTCACGGTAGCAGTGACATGATTTTCTTAGGTCAGTCTGTTTAAAACATCTACGATCACAAACAAAGGTGTAAGAGAAATCTAGCACAATAAAGTTGGTCGGAAGAATTCACTATACATAAGCTAGAATTAAATACATGTTAAAATAAATGCATCTTTCGAGGAAGGTAGGACAGTAAACTACATAGATTTGATATTTAAGCTTCAGTTTGCAATTAGGGAAGATCAAAAAAGTAGATAGATGCAGTGGTTTCAGATGTCTTCAAGTGGTACCACAAATAGATATCATGTTTACACTTAACAATTAATGTTTACAGAAAGGTCATACTACAGCATTTTATAACGACGATCTTGTACAAACTTAAATAATGAAAAAAACATGTACAAGATACACTTCCTTAAAACATACACATTTGAAATTATTTGTCTGGAGGCGTAGAATCATAACTGGTTGAGTTTCCACACAGAAGAGCGGCAATCCAAGTTGCAACACGCTTACACAGAGAAAAAGAGGCATATAAGCACAGTACCATACTTCATGAGCAGAATTACTAGTTTTAACTGCGACCTGACTCTAAGCCACATGTTAAGGTAGTACTCCAAACTACGTTTGTATTACTGGGACCTATTCAGTAAATGCTACTGATACTATAAACTACTTACAAGGCTACCATTAACTACAGCTAAGGAAAGTCAAGCTAGATACAGAAAAAAAACAATCCCTAATAAAAACATACCAGAAGAAAGTCAAAAACTACCATTTAGGAAACTCATTTAAATTTAATCAGCCAAAACTTCGAAAAAAGTAATTATTGGATAAAATTTTTAGAAACATTAGTAAACCTATATCATATTAGCTGTTCTCAGTGGATGGATACACAATTTCCGCTTGACAAGAATGAAGTACCCGAACCACGTAGTAGTCTGCAAACCATATTGAGAGATAGCTCCCGTTAAGAAAAGAATATAGCACCACTACAGAAATAAGAGAAACTCCAAAGGCGCTCAATCACCAGCAATAGGCATAACTCTAGTTCATGACAAAAGTTTTTAGTAACCATAACCGTTAAGGGAGTAAAATACCACAAGCTACAAATGATGATGCAACTTACCTAGCAATAACACGACAGGCAGCATCATGCTGGTAGAGAGCATGCGATAACTCTTGTCTTGCCGTCTGTAACTGCTGTCGCAGTGTGAATGACTGCAACATAACTGCATCCCACTCATCCTAGCAGGAAGTAATTTATGAAATTATACTGAATACCTGAAGCGATTTTAAAATAGCAGGAATCGATGTAGCAGACGGAGGTTTCGGACGGACGAAAGCTGACGTTTTCACATCAATCAACTCTTCCACTGCCAAAGGTTGCTGATCAATGGGGTCAGTTCCATTTTCGGCAAGATACTTTTCAATTAAACGTCTTTCAAAAATGTAACCAGATCGTGGACTAACAACTGGGTGCTCAGGCACCTCATTAGATAAGGAGCACAAGAGAGACATTCTACAAAATTAAACGTTTACATTAGAAACGGATTTTGACAGAGGAAAAAAGAAAGGGGAGTAGGAAAAAAATCTATATTATTTCATTGTACAAGTAACAATCAGGAGATCTTGTCCATCGTAATTAGTTCTCCATAGGGGGTAAAATCCTCAGTCGGTGACCAGAACATATATCATTCTACCGAAGTTGAATTAAATTGTGAGAAACATACCCATAAAGATAGTAGAAGAAGGAGAGAACATAGAAAGCTAGCTTTACCATACCCTCTTTCATTGCCCTGCTGAGCTCGCTTTGGTTAATAATAGTTGTGGGGTCGTATAAACCAGGGCACGACATAACTGGACGATTTTTATATCTAACAAATGATGAAATAACAGATTAACTGACCTGTAAATGTGATATGCCAGAAGTGGTATGTTTAGAAGAAAAGTTCCTATTTGAGCTGTCAGTAGAAACAGCAGTGTATATGTTGCATGAAGCCCATACTCAGGGAGCACAAGCTAAGTTATAAATAATATGTGATGAAAGAGGGTGTTACCGGGTTGAGTGATTTACATTGGTCAACAGGATTTTTGTAGTCAGTCCGTAATTCATCAAATGAGATAATCTGTGGCAATTATATTACTCAAGCAACTTAAATACCTGGAAGATGACGAAAAATATGAGGGCGATTGTAAAAACCAAAGCTAATATGTAAGCAATTGCAACGAGGCCAAACCCCATTCTTCAGTGGATTGCCAAAAACACGCGCTTCACAGCCTGTCGAGGCCAAAGTAATTTTAAAAGTATTTTAAACAAATATTTTGAAGAAAGTAGTATATGATAAATTTTTTTATTATACATCTCATTTTTATTAAATCGGTCTGTGCCTATGAGATGTTGTTTGTTATTCAAACGGCGGACGAAATGAATATAACGATACATGAGCCATCCTAAGCTTGATTACCTGAGACAGTTTGTTAAACCAAATGACCCAAAGGAGGAATATAAAATATTAGCTCCAATCGGTAGTGGGACATATGGCGATGTTTTCAAGGTTAGAATGGCAGTGAAAAATGTGTCACTGCTCCTACTTATATACAATAATATTCCATGTATTCTATGTGACTAGGAAGTTTTTGCTGAGTTTTTTTCACCTTTTTCGTGCAGTACATTTGTTCCGTTGATGTGGCACTGTTAGTCTCTTTTGAATTCATCAGGGTACATTTTACTATTACTATCACCGTCTCACTTATTGGCCACACCGGGTTGCCAGCAGGTGAAGAGATTTACTCTAAAGAAGACAACCCTACGATCTTAACACACCGCCTGCTGGTAACAAGTTACATCCGACCTGGCACTATTAACATCAGAGTCTACTAAAACCATGTCGGACTAGTCGAAGATTTAACTTTATAGAAGCTCACTGAAGACCGAGAACCATCACGGCACCAGCTCAAAGAAGTTAACTGGGCTTATACTAAGTTGTGCAAAAGATGGACATGTGCATGCATACGAAATAACTGGGCCGGAAGATAAATTGTGTAATAATCGTAATCCAAAGCGATTCGAAAATTTCACTTCAATCTAAGTCGCGATCAACAGTCTATGAGGTCTTAAAAGTAATCATTCCAGTCCATTGGCCTAAAGCAACTAAGCATTGTTTAGTTAGGTCAAATTCCTGTTCGTCAGCTTAAACTAAATTTATTTTCGTAATATAAAGACTAATATTGAGAGGAGTGTTTTCTAAACCAGTTGTTAACTTCAAAAAAGTACACTCATGTTCGACTCAAGTACAATCTTATAGGTCATACCATGACAACTATAAACCTTCCTTATGCTACCTGAACTATATGATAAAATGCTCCCTTAAAGTGGTAATTATACTGGTATCTGCGGTCAGTATGTAGAAGTATCTCAGGGCAGTGACGTAGACTGTTGTTTTCGCCAACTCACTGCCGTGTGAATTTGTAAGACATTTTAATATTGCAAAACAGTCTTGCATAAGTATGTAACACTCATCCTACAATTTAGACACTTTGGAACACTTAGAGTGGAACTATTTAGTCACTAGATCTGAATTTCCTGCAATACATATTTTAAGATATATGTTTATGAGTCATATTGTGGAATGGCTTGTAATTCCATTCCCTCCCGTGGTTGGGTTAACTAACACGGGATTCGAACCCGGGACCTACCAGGTAGAAGTCCAGTGCTAAAGTCTTTGAGTTACATTTCAGGCAGGGAACTCCTTTCTAAGTGTTATATTCTCTACAGTATTCTTATAACTTCACACTCTTAAGAGACTACTGTTTACACCACTTCTTTATCACAGTTAAATTTAGTCAAGCAGGTCTGCTTAACAATTGTTATCAGTGGGTCTGTCCTGTTTGGTATAGTTTAAGTTTCCAAGATAAGGCAGGTTTCATGATTTTTGTCTGTAACCATATGTAAATACTGACAGTGTGAGGTGTCTAAGGTAGTATCTGTCATACTCGCGAGAAGTACTAATATATTTTAAAGGAACTCGTCGCAAATCCCTCGATAAATACTGCACTAAAATGGAAGTATTTAAAAAGCATAAATAATACTTTACAAATTATCACCCCTATATGACTCTTCAGTTCAATATGTTAAAAATCATGATATCGGAATTACGTGGAATATCCTTTGACTCGGTGTGTGTTATCTATTCCATGAACTTCTGCCCCTTAATAGTCATAAAAGTTAAATGTGAAACAATTTTTGTTTCTTTCGAAAACCAACACGTCAAGATATTTTGTTTTGTATAAAAGACTTTCTAAACCTTTGGTGAATGCCGTGAAATGTCAGTTGTGTTTCACAGCAGTTTTCCAAATTAATTGATTCAGCCTTAATAGTGACTTGAATTTAGTGTTATTATCTTACTTTCAAATTAAATAACGCTAAAACGGATTAAAAGATTGAGAGATAGTTATTAACTTCAGAAAAAATCAGTGGAATATCTATGGAGAAAATTATTGCAGGAAGCGCTCATTGGAAACGTATCTAGCCAATACGCCTTCTCTGTGTTTTCGTTCGTAGATATTTTGTCGTTTGCTTAAAACATCCAAACCTTGTTTAATTATATGATTGATACAATACCCTTGCAGAGAAATTTGATACTTAGAATGTTTTTAGAATATGTCATTTGCTTTCCAACCCCAACATTTTATTTCATGATTGATTCACTTTACTCCAAGGGAATAATGTGGTAAAAAATGACGAAAGATCGTTCACTGCTCTTTATCCCTAATTGTTTACTTCTCGTCATATGCCGTCATTTTTCCAATTTTGGTCAGTGATAATTCTTTGCGGGAATTGTGAGCACCCGTACATAATAATAACAAGCTAAACTTGATAAATACTACACTCCAAGTCATTCTGATTTAGCATGAAATGGCCCACATTACGTTTAATTCTTGGGCACGCGGATAAAACAGATAGTCTATAGTTCTCCCTAGGCTTTCCTTCATTTCACTTAATAAGTCAGATAAACGACTGCAGTGTAATTTTTTTGTAAATGAACATTAGGTCTTTTGAAATTGTTTTCCTCACTCGATTAATATATAGCTACTGGATCTGTATCCGCTTTTATGATGAGCAACAGAGCATAATATGTCTTACAGTGTCAAATACGTAAACGTATGCATTATTAACCTGTGACTCAGTTATCGTTCATCGGCTCAAAGTATTATCTAGTCTTCAAAACATAGATTGCCACAACTATAGCATTCCACAAATAAAACAGGCGCTGCTAGTAAAAATCCTTTTATAAGTTTCATTTCAAAACAAGTCGTGTATTCATTGTATTGGTTGTTACTGACTGACCGATAAAAGCCCGGCTCTTCAAGTTTCTACACTTCTGAAAAGCAAACGAAAAAGAGAAACAAACGTAATGATGTTGCAATAAACGAACATTGGATTAGATTGACTGCATTAAATACATACTATTTCGTTAACATTTCTTTCCACTGAAGTTAAATTATAGTGCCAGAGACACTTCAAAGGTCAATTGCGGTATGCTGCATTACAGTCTTCCCAGTTCTTTAACATTGACGGTGTATTTGAAAAGATTCGAAGTATTTGTCTACTAGTCTTCATAAGGCTGCTCATACTTAGAATGGATACCTGAATAAAGTGGGGACCAGGTGTAGTCGTAACTGAGATAACTAAGCTACTCAGTCAAATTATTGATTCTCTGAGCCTCCAATGATTTTATCATACACTAACCGTCCACATCGATGTATCATGTTAGCGGAACTAGGATTAGGTTGGAAAAACTAAGGATAGATCAGGGAAAAACAATACCTTTCCATGAATTGATTATTGGCCCAAGCTATGTTAGTTGACTTACTGGTGCTCAAATGATCATAGTAACACACTTTAGGTAGCTTAAAATCGATCGAATCGATGCTTCGTTATCTTGCAGTAAATTAAATTGTCACTTTTCTTTTTAAGCATTTCATGATTTTCAATTACTGTGTGTGAAAATGCTGAGTATGTATTTCTGGGCCACATGTTGGTAATGTCTATGCACTCAAATGACCTCCAGGTACTTATAGTTGTCCAAGGAAACTGCACTAAATTGCCAATGAAAAGCCTTGTACGACAGTGAGACATTCCGATTTGTTATATTTCATCAAAGTATGCATAAAAGGAGCAAATAAAAAAAATTAATGCAAAGAAACCATAATAAATGGAGAATGGATAATTATATTGAGAATAATGAGAACCTAATGTATCTGAAACATCTCAAAGAGTGTATGTACTTGTGCTGTTGACAACGATTTTGAGCTGTGTCACCAGCAGTTTCCATCCGATGGTTCTTAGTTACTCGAAAACCTCAGGTGCATCTCCCTACGCGACTCAAACTAACAGTCGAAGACTTCATGAACTTATACCACGTTTTGGTCTGACCATCCTTAGCTCTTTTCCTGTCTAGTTCTCTGGCTTACATCGCTCGACGTGAGATGAGCTGACTTGCCAACAGTAACATGTGTCCTAGCCGTCTCGATCTGTGCAGATTCACAACCTCATCCATTAACCTCTGCTTCTTACCTAAAATTTTACGCTGAACTACATTATTGCTCTACATACTATTCCACTTAACACGGTAGGTATAATGCAAACTACTGGTTGAATACAACTAGCCTCTTCATATTTTCCACTGTCAATGGCCATGTTTCACAGCCATAAAGAAAGGACAGAGCTAACTGCTGCTCAATATACTTGTTCTTCGATCGATATCCGGATATCATGTCTTCGCCAAAAATGATGTAAGTTGGTTCCCAAAACTAGAAAAGATAGTATTGAAAGTAGACAAGCTTTTCCGTTAATGTTATTCAATTAAACTTACTGACTGATGTTAATCACCAAAAAAGTTCTCAAGTTGTTGACCAATAAACTTGTTCTGAACACTTGTCTCTAACATTGTGAATCAGTTATCAAATAAGCACAGTATTGGAAGGAAAGAGCTCTCTTCTGTGATAAATCTAATGTTATTCTCATTGAGTTTTAATTACTTTAACATCTGCAACAACGGTACTTTGAGTGTTTTTTCGAAGTAAAATGGTATGAAGTTTCTTTGTAATACTTAATTAGTTTTCTTGAATTCAGTAAATATGTTTTTTCCAGGCAGTTCATCGGGAGAAGCGAACACTGGTGGCGGTTAAAGTTATGAAAATTGATCTAAAAGATGACATAAGATCAATCTGTCAGGAAATACACACTTTGAGGGAATGCAGACATCCGAATATTGTACAGTTCTATGGTAGTTATCTCAGGTAACTGATCTACTCATGTTAAACATTGAAAATGTTGTCCTTTTTAGGAATAATAAGTTATGGATATGCATGGAGTATTGCGGTGGACAATCTATGCAAGATATATATTTATGTATGCAAAATCCCTTCTGATAAACAATCGATTCATCTTTTGTTTAGACACCAGGCGTCCGTTAGAAGAAGACTGCATCGCATTTGTTTCTAGAGAGACTTTGCAAGGCTTAAACTTCATGCATAATCGTGGACGTATCCACAGGGACATTAAAGTTTGTACATTATTTTACTGTTTTCCTAACAATCGTATTTCCTTAGGGTGCCAATATTCTTCTAACTGATGATGGCCATGTTAAAGTGGGTAAGTTTATTCCCTTTCCTGATTCTTATCATGTTCACGTTTTGCAAATTAGCTGACTTCGGAGTAGCCGCCCAACTCAGCACCTCAATCGCTAAAAGAACAACCTTAATTGGAACACCCTATTGGTGAGTCATATACTGTGGATTCAAATATGTAAGGTAGTAGATAGTCCTATTCTCCTCGAGTTAATTTGATACTTTATTGTTGTTCAGTGGTAATAATGCTATGATAACGCTGTCGATTGCCTGACACCATTTAGTATCCTTTCATGCTAATCTTGGTAAGAAGAATCAGGTAATTCTTATAGTATTGGTGCATCTGTGGCGTTTGTTGGTTTCAGTACACAACTTTTAATCTGTACCGTGTATGGCTGAACTACGTAAGCAACTGACTGGTTTCATTGTTTGTCTACTTGGAAATTTACAAATGTATTTGTATGTATAAACAAGGCTTACCATGATATTTAATAAGATTCTAGTGTTCCATCCAGTGTGGATCAAAGTGAACTGAACGGCTATATATATTGTCTTTTGATGTACCTTAGTAGCCTAATATTTCATATTCAACTACTCTGAAAAAGGAATATCACGAAGTAAAAACTCGGGTATGAGATATGTCAGCAATCAGATACGCTTATAGATGAATATCCAACTCTGTGTCTGTTCATACTCATTTTAATTATGCCCACTTAAATTGGACGTCATAGTATTTGATTAAACTTCTGTATTCGTGATATTTGCATAACACGGCTGCACAGACTTCCATAGGTAGATAGATAGAGTCCAAAATTGGAACACAATATACAATGGTGAAAAGTCGCTTACTTACTATTTTTAACGCATAATTTTTACTGTTTTCATGAACAAAATGTTCCACTTATATTCACTCTTTGAGACAATGCTAATAGAAACTCGGAAAAACCCAAAGTCTATAGAGTTTAAATTTATTCTATCAATTTCTAAATAAAATACTCGATATTACAACACTTTTATTTGGTAAATGCTAAATAAGTACAGTAAAAAAAATTGGTAACCTGCATGCTATAACTGAATTAGAACATGTTGCCAAATCATTCACTCACTATATCAACTATATAATGTTAATGAATAACTTGGCACCAAGTCATTGTGTCAGACAATAAAATACTATTGATAGTTATGTTCTGACTATTGTTGTTCACCTTCATTATTTTTTTTTTTCGTAGGATGGCTCCCGAGGTGGCTTCGATTGAGTCACGTGGGTCTGGTTATGATGGAAGATGTGATATTTGGGGTGTTGGTATTACTGCCATTGAATATGCTGAACTGCAACCTCCCATGTTTGATCTTGATCCAAGAAAGTAAGCATTTTCACAGTGTTGGTACCCAGAATATTAGAATTTATTTTTAATAATTTATTCTTAAATTTTACCTGTCTAAAATATATTTCCCGCTATTTCATTTTCTTTTCCAGGGCATTACAAATTCTTGGATCACGAAATTATAAACCTCCTTCTTTACAAGATCGCCATAAATGGTTCGTTTCAGTGTTATTTTCTAACCAACTTTCTTCCGAATATTTTTGTCCAGTGTATTAAACGCATCATTAGGAAATGTTAAACTCGCTAGGTTTGGTTTTTGTGTTTCTTCTGTATTTGCTTTCTGTTGAAAACATGCAAAGTGGAAATAGCAGGTTTAAGTTAAACGTTTATCCAGGTATCTAATACGTCTTATAGTTTATATAAATTAAAATTAAAACTCCATGCAATTAATATTCTAATTCTACTATTCCTTTCGCTCGACTTAAAATGCCATGCTTTCATTTGATGTTTTGTAGACCCATTTAAAACTCGAAGACAGAAATCAAATTCATTCTGAGTGTTCATATTAAAAATAAATAGTGATTATCACGTTGTCACTTAAGTAGTTGGAAATTTATGGATAACTAAGTCAGTTGACTCCTTCTTTTTGAAATTTAACCATATGCTGGTATTTTTTAATCCGATTGTGTGCATCAGTGATCATTAGTTTCACCATTTATTTTCTGTGTTTTTTGGTTAATTTCCACCCCAGAGGACAGTAAATTGGCGGTTTGTATTTGACACTGGTTGGTAGAATCTGTTGGCGGAGACATTCATGCAGAAAAAAATAGTTGTTGTTCTGTAGAGACTTGCCTTTTGGCAAAGTTTTGGCATTTGCAGTAAAACAGAAGCGTATAACGCTTGTAAGATTTAGAAATAATGGCGAAGATATGGAGCTCAGGTAAATGATATTGAATTAGTTATGTTCTCTGAGCTGGTTAGTTTTATACCAAAACCTGCGCTGAAGATGTTGTCTAGAAGGACGACAAGAGTTTCGCAATTAAATCAACCAGCTCAGAGAATACAACTAACTCAATGACTCCTTACTTATTTATTGATTGTTTTCAGGCAGTATTGTAATCCAATTTTAAATGAAAGTCTAAATTTATAAAATTGTAGAAGCATTTTGTTTCGTACATTTTGGACCAAAATGGGATCTTTGACTCATTAGAATATCTTGCACGACCATGACAATACTTCGTCCTCACTTGCACTGAGGCATGCACTTGTAAAGTTGGTACATGAAATATTTAGTTTTGTTTAAGATTCATGTCTAGTCACGCATTTTTATCGTTATTAATTCTGTAAGTATCAATCTTAGCTTTAAAGTCAACATACTGCTTTCTGGTTAAAAAAACATGTTTATAATTTACTATGAATTTTTATTACAAACATTTTCACAAAACTGCTTCATTTTCAACAGTGAGGAAGAAATCTAAATCAAACCCAAATTTGCCCATCATTGATTATGTAATATCCTTTTTCAAGGTTATGGTTAACAGATGTTTTGCTAGATGTTAAGTCTGTTAATCGCAATCATATACTACAGATTTTAGTAGTGTGTTAAATAGTGGATTACTGTAGTGTTAAAAAAGGCAGGAGTATTTTCCACAACTGATAAGAGAGCATTCCTAAAACGTGTATATTTCTCCTTATTTAGAAAGTTGATTGAATGGTTTTTCCCCTGAGAAAAAACTTAATCTTACACATTGCCATGAAACAAGTTTTGACACTAGCAACAATAACTAATGAAGTGTTAGATACATCTAAGTTTACAAACCAATGCCGAAATCAACACACTCTCAAAATTCGTTCTGAATTACAGTTTCTCAACTTCCATAGTCTAAGTGTAGTATTTAAGCCTAATCTCCACTAATGTTAGGATACCTTGTTCAAAGTGACTCAGCCAGGTAAATGATTAAGTTGTTTGGAATGTTAATTACCTTGTTGTCCTTTAAATGGTAGATTGCTTTAGTGTTAAAAAAAGGCAGGAGTATTTTCCACAACTGATAAAAGAGCATTCCTAAAACGTGTATATTTCTGCTTATTTAAGGAGTTGATTCAATGGTTTTTCCTCTGAGAAAAAACTTGACCTTACACATTGCTATGAAACAAGTTTTGACACTAGCAACAATAACTAATGAAGTGTTAGATATATCTAAGTTTACAAACCAATGCCGAAATCAACACACTCTAAAAAATCGCCTTACATATTCAAAATTAGTTCTGAATTACAGTTCCTCAACTTCCATAGTCTAAGTGTAGTATTTAAGCCTAATCTCCACTAATGTTAGGATACCTTGTTCAAAGTGACTCAGCTAGGTAAATGATTAAGTTGTTTGGAATGTTAGTTGCCTTGTTGTCCTTAGCGCAGGGTTGAACACTGTTCTATATTTATATTTTGACTGAACTTTCATCTTTCCAGTAATACCTCAATGCTTGTACTCATAGTTGTTGTCAGTTTCTTAATAAATGCCTTCATTATACTTAGAGTATCTTGGGATTGTGTCGATTGTTCAGTAGTGGGGTGTTCATCAACCACACACGTGGTTTGGGTTCGATTCCTGGATAACGCACACCTAAACCTCGCTTAGTCCATGGTATGTCCAGTAATGAGGGAAAGGTGGTTTTCAGGCCAGAGACACCACTGCTAAGTAAACTTCAGAGCCCCCAGACTTGAAAATTCATGCATTGTCCAAAAGACAAAGGAATTATATATATATATGTATATATATATATATATATATATATATATATATATATATATATATATATAGTTTTCAATACATTGTTTTCGTTGTTGGGTGAACATTGTTATATTAGACATAGCTTTATATTGAATTGATAACCAGGTTATGCCTCTTAAAACTAGTGTTCTCGTATTCATGCATATGACCATAGAATTATTTTGCTGTACTCACTCACACTAATTGTTATAATCGCAAGACCATGATTTCTCTGTTGATTTTGTCTGACGTTGATGTTGATCTCTACACATAGGTCAGCAATATTTTTTAACCTGACATACATGTTCCCACAGTCTATTAGGTTCTTCAAATTTATTTTACAAAGGTTAATTTTCTGACACTTTAATACTGACTGACTGAGTTCCCAACGTAGAACTTTTCGCGAAGGTGCAACACTTCAAGTTGTCATACTTCATACAACACACAAAGATAGAGAGAAAAAAATTCAAAGAAGTTGAAATGAGCAGAAATCTACGGGGAAAAGAATAGATACGATGATAATAATCACACTTTGATAGGTCTAGAAGTTTATAAAGACCCAGTCCATCGTTGCCATCGAGAAAAATTCTAAGCCATGTCACCAATATTCCCCAGCCATTGGTTCTTAACATCTCAACGATCACAGTCGGGCACTATACATCTCCCTACATGATGCTAACTAGCTGTCAGAAGCCTCATGAATTAATGGCATGTTTTGGTCCGACCACCACGTAACTCTTTTCCAACCGAACATTCCTCGACGAGGAAGGCGATGCTTTAACACTTGTAATTTAGCAAGAGTAACACTTATATCAGGTGTGTAAAAATCTGAATGTCGATGCTGTTGGTGATGATAATCGAGGAAATACTGTTGTAGTTTTGACAGTTTTATTTTAAAACTACTTCTGCCCTGTAATAATTACTTTATGCTTTTTGGAGGACTAGCATCCTTCAGAAAGTTCGTAACACCTACGGTCTGGAAACTTATATAATCTTTTATTTTTGATTTACTCGTATATTGACAAATTTAATATTCAGTTATTCTGATTGAACAGGGGTAATGTTTAAAAAGAACCCCTTAGTTTAGCATAGCATCATTAATGTAGACCTAATTATTTTCTAATTATGTAAACGATAAATTTCTCTACATGTAGCCCTTAATGCTTAAATTACCGAAATAATAATTCAAGTTTTCTGTCACATTCCACGATAGTAAGCACATTTTAATATGGCTTTTTATTCTAAATTCAATATTAACTTCTTGAATTAGTATTCTTCTGCACATACAAATATTTAATATACTTTTCTGTACTCATTCTAACTGTTGTTGTTGTTGTTTCACATGTAGAATGATGACTAAGTGTTTTGATTGTATATCCATAAAATCTTTTTTTTAAAAATCATTCAGACGATCTTCATCACAATTGTTTATTAACACATGTACATGTGATGAGCCTCTGCATACCAAGTGTTATTATTTCACCTACTGTGTTGAAAGCCAATGTGTGTCATATAACTTTTCATTTTTACTGTTTATATACCAATCGATAAAACTGCTGAAGTTATACTCTCATTACTGCGTGTCATCAAGTTCCTGATTATAGAAACACATAGTTATTAATTCAGGTCCATATTAGCATTATAATAATAATAATAATCATTAAAATTATTAGTTGATCAGAATAGTGTGTATGCTGATCCATTGATCTGCATAATCCACTGTGAGTTTGCATAACTTCTTCAAGTATGCACCACTGTAAGCTACAATAGGTATAAGAAAAGAGGGTGAAATCAGTTTAGTTTTTTATTTTATCAGTACTGTCATTATCTGTGTACTTGGCGATTATTGCGTAGTGTTTTAAGATTTTTCCGCCTAATTTAGTCTTTTGCAGAAATCCTTTTTTTTTCTGCATTAAAATAGTAATAAACTTCACAGCCGTCTACCGAACGGTGGTGAACTTTCACAAAGAATACAATGACTACAATTTACACTGCGAGACAGTCATATAAAAGTTCACCGTAATATAAACGATAACTGTTTTATCAGGTGTATTATAGCTGTATCATAAGTAACTTTCTTTAAAAATCTGATCGATTTCTGATCTTCAGAATGATAGTGGATTTTTTTTAAACAAAGCTGAGATTAAGCCTTTCAGCTTCTCTATAAAAAAATATTCTCCCTGACTATACAGTGTCCTGAAATACATTCGACTTCTGTTTACTGTAAACTTCAATTTCACCTGACATACAATATTGGTCTGAACTTTAATGAGGAAACTTGTCTGGGCAGTTAGTGTGACAATAATGGACGGACGGATGGATGGATGGATGGTTTAATAGCACTCATTCATATGACATTTGAATATAACCGTTTTAATGGTGAATCGTTATGTCGCCGAATAGAGAGAAAAAATTCTCAGACTATTGTTTCGACTGTTACCACCCCCCCTCCTCGCGTCCACTCCCCCTTCTCATTATTTTCCTCTTAACTTTTACTGACACCTGAAAGTAATTAGAAGCATTTTGTTAAACAAAGACGGCTTAAAATAGTTTTGCTTATAATGTTGTAGGCGTTCAACAAATGCTACTTATTATATCTTCAAGTAGTTTTTTAGAATGTCCTAGAAATCTAAGGTAAAACATTAAATTGTCATCATTGTACTAAAGCAAGTGTGGTTATTAATTATCAACACTGAAGTGTTAAAGTGTTTAAACACATAGATATTTATTGCAAGTATTTGGAAAGCAGTCTTTTCATCATCATCATCATCATGATGCATGTAATATCATCATCATAGAAAAATTGCAATGCATTCCTTTTGTTTAGTTTTTGACTAGTCATATGTTATCCACTGTGAGTGTGTGTGTGGGTAGAATTACGTTTTAACTTCGAAGTGTATGTTTGTTTTTTCTTCTGCTTCTCTCAAACTGATCCATTTGATGAAAGAAATCAAGTGAATTGATTAGCTAAAATTAAATATTTGTTGGTTGCACTTGATATGATCAGTGTGAAAGTGTTATAAGAAGTAAAAGGTGTATACTGTGTGCTAACATCTTGAACTGGTGGTAGGACAATTCGATTTTTTCCACATTCATTGGTCATATCGCATTGTTTTCTTTCAGTGATTTTTAAAATTGCATGGAGGATTTCATCATGAGCTGACATCAGTTAGAGAACCACTGGAAAACCTGAGAGTACTGGACAGCTGTTTCGCCTTAGTTTGGGACTCTTCAGCAGTACGCACACGGTGGGTGCTGTCAAGTACTCCCAGGTTTTCCAGTGGTTCTCTAGCCGATGTCAGCTCATGATGAAATCCTCCATGCAATCAAACAAAATCCCTACAAAACCAATACTTGAAAATTTTTAAAATTGACAAACACAGTGATATATATTTCAGCTAAAAACGGATTAGAATAACTGTACAATTGTTACTTAAGTTGTCTGTTTATGATTCATGACGTGAAACAATAGATTTTATTTAAACTATGGGTTATTTGTAGGGGATCGAATTAATTTCAGTGTAGACCACATCACGAATAAACATCACTAAGCCGAGTCATCGAAATCCAAGGAGCACATTAGATAGCTATTTCGTTGTAGTTCAGAGTCTTTTTTTAGTACAAGCTCTGAATATATCAATTTCCAGCTCACTAGCACCTGCTGCATGGATGTCCTAAGAGGGCGTAATGAGAAGTAGTGACCGGTGGTAGTAGTGTTCACTATGTCAAGGCATTCGTTGCTGGTGGTACTGTATCACGTCCTGAAAAAACTAGAACTCACGGGTCATTTAATTCTTGTCCAAGGAGCTGAATGAATGGTCGAGGAGCTTGGTCTCGTAACGTGAAACACCCTAGTTATTGGTGTGCACTTTGTTGAAAAGCACACTGAGATGGGATGATAAAACTATCCGCCACCCTCTGATTGACTGTCGATGATGACTGCATATATTGTCTGTTTTTTTGTACCACTTGAACAGTGGAAAGCGTATAAAGAAGAAAGAACAATAAAGCCTTATCTGATGAATATGAATTCTCCATTTCTTTTTGTTTAATAGTTGTTGCCATTTCTTAGCTATACAATGTTATGTGATTTATCATCTAATGTCAAATATTTATTTTAAATAAATAAATAAAATATGAATGTAATAAACTCATTTCATTTCAATGACAGTCATTTAATTGACCTGATCAAAATAATTGTAGTGACAGATTGTAAGTAATGCATGCATTCCAGACAAAACAATACATCAAAGCATGGTAACCTCTTAGTTGGAAATTAGTTCCAATATCTTTTCAGTTACAACAGTATTTTATTACTATATTCAATAGTTAAATTGAGAACTGACTAGTTTGGTCTCATTAACCCTACATTGTTAATGATCGATATGGCATTTATTTAGCTTTCACAAGTATGTTGTGCAGAACAATTTGTGATTTTCTTATGCGATTTTAAAAAAGTGGTCTTTAAGTTTAAGTATCTGCAAAGGCTTTATACACTTGATTCCTGTTACTCTGATGATACTGCCACGATTAGTGGATTATAGTACTCGGTAACTGTATGTTCGTAATCACTAGGTTTGTAAGTTTTCATTTGTTACGTTGGACAAAACATACTTCTTTTCTTGGTTGGATTTTCTCGAGACAACTGAAACACAGATCCCTAGAAATACAAGTGGTATGCCTTCGAATCAAATACCCCAGGGCACGTGTTTTCATCCAAACCGTAATGTTACATCGAACTGCTTTTCCTCCTTTTCACGGCTTCTTATAATCGTATAAAGGATTTTGTTTGCTTTTCTGCTGTTGTTGGTTTCCATCTCAATTTGTTAATGATTTGTATGATAAGCTCCATAGACACAATTGTGTCAGGTCTTTCTTTAGTGTGAGGTTAATAACATAAACTTTTCTAAAACTCTCTATCTCTGCTCTGTCTGTCATCCTGGTATTCCTTAGAAGTTTTTGACTGACTCACTGGTGTCAGCATAGAGCTCTGCACCGATGTGCAGCAGTTCGAGTTGCCACACTTCACTAATGATCAGGAGGGCTTCGTGTGCTTTTGGAATTGTGTGGGCGTTTGTTACTTCTCGGCTGCCCACACCGTGGAAGTAGATTGATTCTTGAGGTACCTGAAACAGAAGAAGGGTTAGTGTTGCGTGACAGCAGAGCTCAGGGGACAAATGCTTGAGTCCGGTCACACACGGCCTGTACGAACTGGTTTCTTGAATTGGTTCCGTACTAGTAACTTACCGCCGATTACGGACCACTGTAGGGTAAGTCGCGATGTACAGTTTTGGGGTCGACCTTTTTTAACCCATTCGCTCCAGAGTGGAGAGACAGCATAGTTGACATGCTGGTCATCTGAGAGAAACACCTCACTGCTGTTGCATTCCTGTTGCCCAGCAGTACAACTTCGCCCACAAACCCCCAGCATAGTGTAAAAAAATTTTCACACTATTCCGGTAACTGCTTCTAGTCTAATCGCTATCTTAACAATCTTCCTGGCATGGCAGGACCTGCAGGAACATTAGTTTCAGCCAGTGTAGCTGGTTGGATCATTGCGATATACAAGCCCAACCACCACGTCAAGGTAGCAGCTATCGGTCAAGATTATAAGTTTTTTTAACAAGTCCTGTCTTTAAGAAGTAAGGTATTATCACTCATTTTTACTAGGCAGTAGATTGTTCATATGATTCTCATATTCACATCCTCACTGTTTCTTTTATTACTATTATGTATTTTTGTGACACTTTTTTAAAGTTTACAAAGGTTAAACATTAGTAGGTTACACCATCAAATATTTCTTAATTTTCTTTTGTTCAGGTCTCCACTATTCCATTCATTTGTCAAATGTTGTTTAATTAAAAGTGAACGACGGAGACCTGATGCGGCTACAATGCTTACTGTAAGTCCTTTCGTTGCCTTTGTATCCGCTTTTACTACTCTTACTAGCAGTAATATTAGTAGTAGTGAAATTAAAAATCATGTCACTGTGCTACATACAATGTAGAACACAGTTATAGTAATCAACTCTAATAGCAATAAATTAACTAAATTCTTAGTTCTTTTCATATACATCCACATAAATTTAATGAAGTATCAGCTGCGTATGTTAAAAAGTAGTTAACTAACACGGTTTGACCATACACACCCCAGAAGTTATCTCTGTTATAATTTTCTAATGATTGCAATGGCCATTGCTTGTTCCGTGTCTGATCAGTTTCTCTGAAATTCGATTATAAATAGGCATTACAGTATGCTTCCTACTATATCAAAGCTTTCTATGGAGATATAAGTTGTTCATGAGGGAATCATATAAGAGTTCTTGCGTCTAAGTCCTCAAACAACAAAAAGTCACGTTGGCTACTGCTGCATATTTGCTTTTCTTCTTATGTGCTACTGTAGAACTTTCTACCACACCCATGTATATTTTTACAAGTTTCTCTCTGTCTTTCTATATATATATATATATATATATATATATATATATATATATATATATGCTTATTTAATCTATTTAAAACATCTGTAGGAAAGGTCACGTACACATATGAGCAAGATTCCTTTTCAATGTTATCTGATGAAAATCAGTGTCAGGAGAACCAACACAGGAGATTTAGAGGCACAAGTTTATAGAAAATCAACGCACACAGATCAAATACTCAACTATACTAGCAACAATCCAGTTACTCACAAACGAAACTGTGTGCAGACATTGTTTAAAAGAGTTCAGACACATTGTAGCACTCCAGAGTTGAAAAGAATGGAAGAAAAGTACCTACAAACGGTCTTCAAAAAGAATGGTTATCCACGAAATTTCATCAAAAAGTGTTTAAAGTCGAATCAAAACACCAACAAGAAACCATCATCAAAGACCACAAGAAAATTCATTCTACCATACATGAGGACTATCTCTGAAATAGCAGCCAGAATACTGAAACCGTTTGATATAGATATAGCACACAAGCCAGTCAAATCGCTTAATTCGATATTATGCAAACCGAAAGATCCAACAGAAAAAGGGGATAAAATAAATACCATCTACAAAATAAATTGTATGAACTGTAACAAGCATTATATCGGCCAAAGTGGGCGTCCCCTTCGAATCAGAATCCAAGAACATAAATCAGCCGTGAAAAGACATGATATGAATTCTTTAGTATCAATGCATGCAGACAACTATGGTCATCAGTTTGATTGGGATCACGTCAAAATCTTAAACAGAGGAAACACGAAAAGTGCCAGAGAATTCCTAGAAGCCTGGTACTCAAGCGAAAATGCGATTAACAAACACGTTAATATAGATGAAATATACCAATTAATAAAAAGTAAATCAGGTGACCAAAAAGTTTAAAATCCTAGTCAATAGAAAGTGGTCAATACATATGTGAAGATAGTAACCAGGAGACGCAATTACATCACGCATGAAGAAATTTAAATCATTTCACTCTGTGCTAAATATGGCGCTGAAGATGTTGTCCAGAAGGACGACGAAAGCTCGGCAACTAAACCAACCAGCTCAGAGAACACTATTAATTGCAAATCAGTGTCAACAGATCTAGTGTGTTATAGCAAATAACTGTTTGTTGTTGTGCAACTATCAAAATCTGGCGTTCTTTGTAAATAGATAATCATACCCTTTCACTTTAAATTGCAATTAAGTTCTCATAAAGCCATAAGATGTTCAAGATCCATTATCATATTTCATGGAATTTCGTCTTATTAGTTTGCGTAATTGACTTTAGAAAGTTTGTTTTAGCTCTCATAAGAAACTGTGTTGTAGTTCTTGTAAAATAACCCTAAAGCATCCTGCAAAGTTTACTGATAATACCTTCATATATAGGGGATTTTCATGTATTGCTGATACCATTTTTTGCACATTCAAATTTTACCTATATGCATATCGTTGAATTTCATCATAGATTTGCAGTTGAATACCTGTGTTTAAATATTCTTCATTTGTTTTGTGTGTTTTTTCAGCATAATTTCGTTACAAATCCTCATTTATCTACATTATTAACTCAACGTCTACTGTGTTATCGACGACAATTAGAGTCTACAGCTAAAAATGCTTATTCTCATGGCGATGGAGGAATATCTATACCACCGAAAAAGATTTCTGCACCTGCGGGGAATTTCGTTTCGCCTAGTAATAATCATGCGCCTGGATATATTGTGCCACAACACAATGCACCTCTAATATCCAATGCAGGTACACCTACTTCAAAACTAATGAATGAATTTACCGACACTCCTGCTGTAGTGAACAATCTTGCTGTTAGTTGTGGAGTGGGTGCTGGTGGCCCCGTACATTTTGTGTCATCTCAGAAACTTGTTCTCGAACGGAAACCTGATGTATTCCCCAATGTACAGATCCACAACAGTTTATCTTGCTCCGATTTAGCAAATGTAAGTCCCTTTCACTATATGAATCTATGCATATATGTGTATATAAAAATAAATACATAAAAACATTTGTAAAATGGCAACCACACTTCATAATCCATCTTTGTAAGGTGTTTCATTGAGTTATTGGTCAGTCAGATGTTATTCAACCAGTGTGTATTTTACTGTCTTCATTGCTTTCATCGTCATACCAACTTTTACTATCTAATATAGAGAAACATAATAACACTATCCTTCGTCTTCCATGACTTTGCTGAGAGTGAGTGTTTCAGTTGTCAGTAGGAAAGATGATAGGTTGTTTTCATTTGAATATTCTAACTGGCTATTACTTATTGAATGCGTCAGTTTTTAATACTTCTAACAATTGCCCTGCATAGACGCGCTCTATTATCTCATCTCTAACCATGAATTTTGTTCAAATAGAATTTTAAAATGTTTAGTTCTTTATCTCCCTCATAACCTACTAATTTGCAAGTTTTATGGTGAAAATATGCATGCCTATAAGAAACAATTTCTGGCGAAGCGATGTTTCAATAATCACGAACAACAGAGTATCCCAGTGTTTTGAAATGGGGGTTCATGTAGCTTTTGTAAATGAAGTTTATGTGTTCCACTCTATATGTAGTAAACATTAAAACTCGTGTGTTGTCCTCCGATTATAGTTCAGTGTGAAGCCTCTTGTTTATTTTGTAGTATTTTATTTTTCTACTTTTTCAATATTGTTTGGTGAACAAATACGAACTCAAGCATAATTTGCTTAGCGTGAGCTTTTGCCATTGAAGACGTTTTAAAAAAAGTGATCTGAGTTACTTTACGTTTACGTTGTTTAACTACAGTTTCATTTCTCGCTCTTTGTATAACATTGATCGGTGTATTAACTGCCTTGTTTTAGATGAATGATGATGTAAGTTACATAATTAATGCACTAATTAAACATCTCATTCATCTTGTAAATGTTTCTTGTGGAGTCATTTTATCAGATCACCGAAGAAGAATTGATTTTGCTACTGAAAGGTGTGATGTTTAACCGATTAGTTTTTTTTACTCGTCAGAAGTGCTTCGCATTTAGTTATACTTTCTTATTGCTTTCCTCGTCCATAAACGTTGATCTGCTTATCAGCAGATAGAAGTGTTTCGTGTTTGTATCAACAAGTTGTGACTAATTGCGATATTGGCTAAAAGTTCGTGCTAAACAATATAGCCGACTGAGATATGCATAGTTTAGAGTCTGTTTTTTCAAATCATGAGTAGTATAAACAAATTGCTTCATTTTTAATGCACATTTTTTTAATGTCTGAGTAACTGCTGCTACGTCACAAATTTTACGTGCTAAATGCTTGATTTGTTTTCTATCAGTCCAGTGTTTCTCTAATTAAATCACAGTTACCATTACCTAACATCAGCTTATATTTAATTTCTATCTAATCAGAATGATTCTACTATGCTGCTGAGAGAATTTATCGATTTTTTAATTGATTAGAAATGCCCATTGAACATTTTTTTCAAAAGAATGGTTACTGAACAAAGAATATTCTTTGCGATAAACCCTTCTTCATCAGCTTCTACAGCTATATACACATAATAGTCAGTAAATTACTGCTATTAACAGCATGAATGATGTTTAAATAACATCGAATCAATAGTAATAATATCAGTGGATTACAGTTCGATAGCATCAACATAACAATACACACTGAATACCAGAGGAATTAGGAAAGATAATAATACAAATTCATGAATTTAATGTCTTCATTGAAGGCCGGTCAGGGCAGTAGTAGTGACTGAACTTGCTTCTTTTGCACACAGAGCATTGGTTGTTTCCGGCCAATCGCGATAGCCTCAGCTATTTGGAGTATGCCGTACCTCGTTGTTTTTGGCAATTTATTTGGTACTCGATAGATGATGGAGAAGGACTTTTCAATATTAGCTTTGTAGCCGGTGTTTGGACCAGGTGTTCTAATATTGAGCTGTTGATGCTACTCACTACACCTTTATTAAACCACACTGGTAGATATACCCGAGTGAGCATTAAAGAAACCAAGTTCCCAGAGCAACGGCCAATATAACTCGCTCCACAAGGGCAGTTGAGTTGGTAGATACAATTCGAAGTGGCTAGTCTGGATACTTCATCTTTCAATTGGAGAGTCATCACTGGTCGTGTAGAAAACAAGACTTGTAGTTTGTCAGCATTAAAAGTTCTTTCAACTGATTTTCTTAACTTTTTCATAATTATTTCGCTAGGTATGTCGCCCTTGAATTGCAGGTGTATGTATTATGATTGATTCGATGTTATCTAAACAACATTACTAGCGTCAGTGGCAGAGCGGTTAGGACGCTCGCCGATCATGCACATGGTCCGGAGTTCGACACACTCCTTTACCTCGCTAAGCCAGAAATAATGCTGGTGAAGAGGAAAGGTTGGGCATGAGGCTAGCAACCCCATCCTGTAAAATAAACACTGCTAAAGAAACTTCAAGCCACTAGCTTGAGGCCCTATGTTCCACTGGGGAACGTGAAGGATTTAAAAAATATTAATGCTGTTGATAACATTAACCCATTGACTATTATGTATATATAACTGTAGAAGCTGATGATGAAGGTGTTATCGAAAAGAATATTCTTTGTTCAGCAACCATTCTTACGAAAAGATTTCTTGATTGCACAATATTTCAACGTATCTATCACTAGTTAACTTAGAAAGCTAGAATCCTTTCCGCCTGATCAGACGGATTTGCTTAACGTATAACTGATTAACACATTCATCTGTTTCATAATTTTCTATATGTAGCCATTGAAAATATTCTCATCTCTTTCTATCTCGCTTACTGCTTACATTTGCGTGTTTCGTGTTGAATTTTCCTCTTGGTGATTGTTTTTTTGTAACATATGACATGGTGGTCGGTTTTCACGAGTAAATAACCCAGAAGACAATTGTCTCTAATTCAGAGCGAAGTTTTGAAAGTTGTGTGTCTTTCAACGAACCTAACAGTTTATTTTTATTTTGGTGATCCAATTTTATTATGATTATTATTTAGTGATTGGGTTTGATTTTAATTTTATTTGGTGATTTATTTATTTGTTGTCCATAATTTATCAGACAACTTCCTTGCTAATCAACACTTCTTATGTCATAATATTATCGGTGTTATGGTGTTGCTGTCTTTTATTTTCAAGTTTTAATTTTTATTTCATACACACAGGATTGTACGAAGAAGTCGTCTAATGAGACTGCTGAATCCACTGATGTAAATTACACCACACAAGGAAAAGAAAATATCACTAATGCTGAATTAAATAAAAAAGACCACTATTCATCTGAGAATACAACAACAACTACAACAACAACAAATGGTGGATTGTTAAAGCACTCACTATCCGACCTATCCTATCAGTCTGATACATCGAAGACGAAATCTCCACCTGTACTGCCATTGAAAAGCACTAGACGTTCTTCTTCTGTAATTAATCATGATAGTAATCATTCTGTAGACTCGAAAAATTCATTAAACCAAGATAATCATACAACTGGTGCTACAGCAACAGCTGAGACTAGTCACATTATGCCATCGCCTGTTGTTACAACCACTACCTCTTCTAGTAATAATAATAAACCAAAGCCTAGGCGTCCTTGTCCACCTATAATTCCAATAAATGCTTCACGTCTGTCAAATGCAACCGGTGTTGCGGAAATATCCCCGGGAACAGGTTGTTTAACTGAAAATCATTTATTTGCAGATCGTTTACTGCATGTCAGCTCAGAGGCAAGTGCCTGTTTTGGACATTTTATTAATTTACTAAGTATAGATTTTTATTTCAAGCATCTTATTACGTGTAGAGACTTTATTCGCATCAGCATGCATGTATATAGGGTCTAATTGTCCATTAGTGACTCTTACTCAACGACGCATTACTTCATCCTAGGAAGGGTCATCGATAGGTGTATGCTCGAAGTATTTGTTCATTTGTACTAAATGTGGTGTTTTATTGCTATGCTATGCTTGTTTACGTTACCTTAATATGCTAACCTACATATATCCTCCTATTTGTATGCACTTAGTCATTGCTTTATTCTTGCACCATGTTTTTACTTCATTTCTCGTCGAGAATTTCTTCATAAAGATGTACTAATTAGATCCAGGTACATATATCATAAACCGCCTGTATTGAGTGTTCTTATTAATTTTTGTTTCAATTGAAGATCAGTAAAACCATGATTAAACCACATTAGTGTGTATTAACTAACGTTTCTATTTATTTTATTTTTTTTTACTTTGTGCTGTGGAGAAATTTATGTTTATTTTGTTGACTCAGATGTGCTTGTTTTGCTTACTGTCCTCCTAAGTCGTGACAATTTCATATTGTCACTTTGGTCATTTACTTTCTCTGTCTGTTTATTTAACTAGCCTCTTTTGTCTCTTTCAATTAGACAGATAGAATTATCATCTGATTTCGTTACATATATATATATATATTTTTTTTTTTTCTCCTAAGTATTACATGCTTTTTATAGCTAGAAATAAGCTTATGTGTAATGTATTTTTATTCCAGCACTTGAGAATTTCTCATTTTTTGTTTGTTAATTTACACTTCTGTTTTTTGCAGGATTTACTTCGTGAAGTAATGGATGCATTCGATAAACGGCGAAGTGGTGTTGATTTCCGTGGAAGTGATTCTATCGACTGGTAAGAGTGGTGGTAGTGCATACACAACTTTTCTTCTTTTCTTTTTTTTCAAGACGACGACTGATAAGGTTTAATTCTAGTTGCTGACATTTTCACTACTTTTGACATATCTAGTTTTGGGAAAGGTGAATAACATGTGATTCGTGATTTCGTGTCTGTCAGCAGGGTGTTTTGTAATCCATTGATCTGACAAACTGAACTTTTATTAAAAGAGTGTGAATAAAAAGTTTAAAATTCTTCATTTGAACTATTTAAAGCTTAGGTGGACAATATAGAGAGAGTACTATTCCATGTGTGATTTGCATTTCTCCGTGTTGCATACTAATGCCTAATTTGTTTATTGTCTTTTCACTGTATAATGTAATACAAAATGCAAAGTGATATATATATATATCGACTGACTTTTTAAATTAGGTATTGAATATTGCGAGAGTGAAAAAAAGGCATGAAATAATAATTCAGAGTGTACAATTGTACAAACTGTTGTACAGAATGTGACACGTCTCATCCGTGAGTAAGAAACCACTTATGCTGATGTAGTATTTTCTACTGATTTCAGGTTTTCCAGCTGCAAAAAATAATTAGGCGGTTGTTGTCTTTTTCAAGTTTCACGATACAAAACTAAATGTCCATTTCTTAAGGGCATGCAAGTAAGCAGTCGAGAGACGACTTATTTATAGTCTTCAAAGTCCCACTTACAAACACTGTGGTGTATTTCTTTTAAGCGTTTTATTCTTTCGTATCTAAGACTCTATTTAACAACTAGTTAACTTTGCCAATCATTTCCTGGCCAAGTGCTTTTAATGCTTATTGTTTGGCTTACTTAGTTATATATTTAGGTCTTCTTGAGTGCTTTCTGTATTTTCGAGATAGAAATGTATTTAGTATATATATATATATATATATATATATATATATATATATATCGTTCTACATGACTTATTACATCTTTGTTGTCCTTATTACTTACTCAGGTTTGAATGTCTATAATGTATCAAATATTGTGTGTTTCATGTTTAATGAATGCTATTAGCTAAATCATTGATCTTTTTATCAAGCAACAGTTGCTTTTTCATGCTAATAAAACATGCTAAATTCTATTTAGTTAGCATGACGTTTACCTGGTTTTAGTAAAACAATTTAAAGCACTCCATTATTCAATCATAAAAGATCATAAGTTCAAGACCTTTCGTATCTTTCGGATCCCAAGGACACAGAGGATGAGAGAAATTCATTGCTCATATGTTGTTGCCTGGTTCTATTTTTTTTCATTCATTTATTAGGTGCGTATACACTCATCTGTTGTTGTTGTTTCTTTAAATGTGTTTTGTACTTTCAGTTTGGATACTAATCAGACAGATGGTGAAATTAAAGCCAATGTGAGTTCAATTGATTCTTCTCATGTAGTATGTCTTTATGACGTTTCTTTCAATATGTTATATTATATTATATAGTACTTTGACAGTTAGTTGACTTCTCAATACTATTAACGTACTCAATTTAATATACGATCACAGTCAATGTATGCCCTGTAAAGATACATGAAACTGTGTAACGATCATTCACTATACAACACGATAGATAGGCAAGTATTTGTCATATTAAACGTACAAAGCAAGCACCTATGCACGTATTAAATTAATTGTTATCTCTTTTTAAAATGTCATTGAGATATTGATTTTTTTAATAGATTAAGAAATGGTAACACCTACTAGCATCAACCATATTAGCAATACATCCGAAATCAGATAGTTACGACTTTCAAAAATACATGAATAATTACTTCTTTTGCCTATTATTATTATTAGAAGTATAAGACAGGTTGTCTGAAGGAATGATAGATCTCTCAGTTATTCGACAACCACTTGCAATGGCATGCATTTGACAATGAGACACACCTATTGTGTGAGGGTTAGTGATACTGCTACATGTGCTACTCATGGAATTTATGAGTAGTATATAAAGGGACGTTCATTGACATAAAAATATCAAGTAGCAGGGAAGTACATTGAATGTCAGGGGAAGCAAATGATACAGCGTCGCGGAGGTATATGAGAGACGTGGAAGGAACACAAAGAAACGCAATATGAAGTTCAAAAGTACCACAACACGGGAGATCGGTGCAAATGGTGCGTTGAAGTTAAGGTATGCATGATTTCGCTATCTAGAGACTTCAAATTTAGCAAATCTCTCATCTTCTGTCGTTACAATACTACCTTGCTGCCTTAATTTCGGTAGGTGGAACAGGGTTTCAACCTGTGACCCACTGTTTGGAAATCGAGCGCCGAGACCAATGAGTCACTGCTCCACGGAGTGATTAATCAATCTATCTAATTAGGAGGCTGAGAAAGAGTTTGAATGAGATCAAGAATTTAATTTGCAATAAATATCTAGGCTCAGCTTACTTTCTATTCTTGTTAATCTGTCACGTGATATCATTGCGCAATAAGCATTGTCTTTAATTAAATGTTTACATTGTGTGTGTGAATATCAAGTTACAGTAACCAGTATGCTTATATATTTGTGTTTGCATGTTCTATTATTATTATTTTTTCTGTAAAGAATGTTTCACGAAATGATGCTGCAATAACACCTCCACCTATTCCTCCTGCACCACGTTCACGCTCTAAAAGACGTGCTCCACCTCCTCCACCACAATCTTCATCTAATGCTTTTAACAATAATGTTAACATTACAAATTCATCATTCGATCAAATCATTGATATCTCCACTTTAGAAATTGGTAGTGATATTTCAAAAGCTGATGATCTATTCATGAATGGACTATCTGCTCCAGCGCATGAAAATCATGTTGAAGAAACATCTGGTGATATATCTTTAAATTATAATATTAAAATAATCAGAGAAAATGTTACAAATAATCAAGAGAAATACAACAATTCTGTAAGCATAGATCATAATGGTCAAATATCTATTGTGCATGAAAATGATAGGACAATGACACCAGCTCCGCCTAGACCACCACCGCCAAAAGTCGATAATAATCATACTACTGCACCAGCACCAGCATCATCAGTTGCAATTTGGAAAGGGAAACAAAATGATGACTCGAAGCATGTTTCACGTCAACAACAATTAGAAATAGGTATTGGTCTTCCGCCTACACCAAAAGTTCATGTAAGTGTCTAACATTACTTGTATATTGAATGTATATCTCTGTCGTGAAAGTTGTTTCTCTTTTTTTCAAACATGAGAATTCTCTGCAATAACTATTCTTAAAATTTACTTTTAATACACCCGTTTAACAGCGCAATATTATCATTATTATTATGATTATTATTATTATTGTTCCCTTGGGTTCCTAGTGGAACATAGGACTTCAACTGCACGTCTCCACTTGTTTCTGTCTTCTGCTGTACTTTTCACCTGTATCCATGTTACTCCATACTGCTTCAATTCCTCTTCACACGATCTCCTCCATGTCACCCTTAGACGTCCCACTCACCGCCTTCCTTTCGTGTTCCACTGGAGCTATGGCCTGACGCGCGATGTCACCCAGCGAGTGGCCTCCTCAGCGAGTGTCCAATCCATCTCCACTTTCTCCTGCATATTTGTTGGGCGATTGGTTCTTGTTTTGTTTGTTCCCATAGTTTCTTGTTGGTGTTTTTTTCCGGCCATCTGATCTTCAGTATAGACCCAGCGAAGACAGTTGTTGATAAAGGTGTGCAACAGGCTGTTGGAAATATTCTTTGTGACCCGCCACCAAGTTTCTGATCCATGCGTATAGAAGAACTGACTTGACGTTTGTATTGAAAATCCGAATTTTGTTGTTGATGCAGGCTGAGTGACGAAGATTTCCAGATTGGTTTCAGGTTGATGAATGTGTTTCTCGCCTTCCCGATTCTCGATTTGACATCCTCGTCGGTTCCTCCTGTAGTTGAGACAATGCTCCCTAGATAAGTGAAAGAAGTAACCTCTTTCAAATCCCTCCCGTTGATGTTGCTGCTGCTGTTGTTGTTGTTGGTTGGTTATTTTCATAACCTCCGTTTTGTCTATGTTCACCTGGAGTCCTGTCTTTGCTGCTTCTTTGACCAGTTTGTCGGTTTTCGCTTGTAAGTCTTCGATTTTGTGTGACATCAAACATAAATCATCCGCGAAATCTAGGTCTTCTAGGTTCTTCACGTCAGTCCAGGATATCCTTGTCTTCTCGTTTCCCACTGTCTGACGCATAATCCAGTTCACCACAATTAGGAATATCATTGGTGATAATAAGCACCCTTGTCTGACTCCTGTGTTTACTCCAAACGCTTCGCTGAGTTTTCCGTTGTGGATCACTTGACATGTGCCGTTGTCGTACAGTTGTTGAATAAGGTTGATGAATATTTGGGGAACGCCGTAGTACTCGAGTAGTTTCCAAATTACTTCACGGTCGACGCTGTCGAAGGCCTTCTCAAAGTCTATAAAGTTGAGGTAGAGGTTTGATTGCCATTCCATGCTTTGTTCGATGATGATGTTTAGAGTTGCAATTTGGTCAGAACATGATTTGCCTTTCCTGAATCCAGCTTGTTCTGGTCGGAGTTCTGTATCCAGTGCGTCCTTGATTCTCTCCAGGATGATGCGACTCAGAATTTTACTTGGCGTCGACAGGAGCATGATTCCTCGCCAGTTCTTGCAAAGCCGTAAGTCGCCCTTCTTTGGTAGTTTCACCAGGTAACCTTTACTCCAGTCAGTAGGCACCGTTCCCTCTTTCCAGTCCTTTTGCAATAATTGAGCCAGAATATCCTCTGTCGTCTCTGGGTCCGCTTTCAGTGCTTCAGGGAGTATTCCATCTGGTCCAGCTGCTTTTCCAGCTTTCAGGAGCATGATTGCATTCAAGACTTCAGTCTTCGTTGGAGGATTGGTGTCAACTTGCAGTTGTGTACGCGCACAGTATACTTGTAAAAAAATAACTGACCAAAAAACTAACGTATAAAACAAATCAGTTTGCGTTGGATTTAACACAACTTTGAAAGCATGATTTTCTTTCCTCTTCTTCTATCACTTTTTCTTATGTAATGTTAAATTAATTTCTACAAGTTGTGAAAGAAAATTTATAAATAAAAAAACTGAGTCGAAACGTGTCGCTAATACACCGAAACCAACTACTTTTGGTTTACACTTTTCAAGACAGTGTAAATCTTCCATTGAGGATTGTTCAGATGATTACTAATGGTTGACGCGTTTTGATCACCGTCATCATGAACCTCAATGAATCCTACTAATATGTGTTCAAACATTTACTTTTCAAGTATTGGTTTTGTAGGGATTTTGTTTTATTGCATAGAGGATTTCATCATGAGCTGACATCAGTTAGAGAACCATTGGAAAACCTGCAGGAAGTAATAGACATCTGTTTCCCCCTAGTTTGGAACTCTTCAGCAGTACACACCCACCGGGATTCGAACCAATACTTGAGAATTAATCTGATGCTCACTAGTGACTGCCCCTATTCAGGCAGTTAACCTGCGGTTCTGGTGGGAATCCGTGACCAGTAGGGTTCAGCAGGTTGAAGATGAGGCAGTAACTCATCGAAGAAGACACTGCGAAATGGTCGCGCTTTGTCGTGAATTGGCAGAAGTTAGAATTCAAGGACCATTGGATCGGGTCTCAGTGGCTCAATGATCTACGAGCTCGCCTTGTAACCAGAAGGTCCTGGGTTCGAACCATGGTTGGTGCGTACTGATGAAGAGTCCCAAAATAGACTGACGAAACAGCTGTCCAGTACTCCCATTTGGTTTTCCAGTAGTTCTCTAACTGATGTCAGCTCATGATGAAATCCTCCATGCAATCAAACATTTACTCTACACCTGCCTTTATTCTGTCAAATCCATTTTCGGTTTCGTTATAAAAATTTAAAAAAACACACTAGTATTAGTGTTTCTTCAATAAAAATCAAGTACTGATTCATTTGTCTTTGATGGTGTAATATTTCGTCAATGTACACACATTCAACAAAATTATTAATTAATTTCTCTTTATAACAATGAAATTCTGAAGGTGTGCGTTATACGTAAAATTTAGCTGTTTTTTTTTTCATTAAAAAAACTGATATTACTAATTAAAAGTGTAAGCCACCCTGATCAGAAAAACTATGGAATTCAATCAATAACATACTTGTCTGTTAGACGTTTGATGTAGGTTGGTTTTTGTGGATTCATTTCTTTTAATCTAAGAGATTAAGAGCGACAATTTCTAGGATTCTTTTGCTCGTTATAACACCTATCTTCTTATAAAATGGCAATATTGATTAATATTTAGGTCATAGTTTTTTCGGGATTACTTTCAGTGTAGATGTCGTCATGAAACAACATCGGTTCGATAATCAGTTCAGCTCATGGTGAAATCCTTTAACCAACTAATCAAATGCCTACAAACCAATACTTGAAAATTAATGAGGTGCTTACTACCGACTGGTCCTGGGCTGCTAATGGGAAGTCGTGATCAATAGGGTGCAGCAGGTCAGCTGTGAAGACAAATACTCGCCGATGACATTGGTTGGTGGTCGTGGAATATCGTGAATTGGCTGAAGTTGGAATTTATGGGCTGGTCATTGGATCGGGTCTCAGTGGCTTAATGGTCTACAAGCTCGCCTTCTAACCAGAAGGTCCTAAGTTCGAACTCTGGCAATAGGTGCGTACTGATGACGAGTCCCGAACTAGGCTGACTAAACAGCTGTCCAGTACTCCCTGCAGGTTTTCTAATGGTTTTCTAACGGATATCAGCTCATGATGAAATCCCGTAACCAATTTTCCTAAAGCACGCACCATTAGAATGCTGTTTCGTCACAGTTCAGAACTCCGGCAGTGCTCCATCCATGACCTCACTAGGAATCGAACTGGTGACCTTTAGAATACGAAGCCAGTTCTTCGCATCATCCAACCACTTTGGCTGGAATTCAGTCACCGGCAAATTCTGACTCCGTCATTTGGAGATATAGGGTTACTGATTAACTTCGTTCTCATTTCGTCTGTACATCCTTCATACTTGAACTGTGGTCAAGTTGAGCTAAATAAATTCGTTTTAAACGGTATTCATTGAAAGGAACCAGGTCATAGAGATGTCTGATTTTGAGCTTCTCACTGCAACCTGCCTAAGTGGATACATCTAATTCTTTATTTCTGGTTCTGTATCTTTATCATAACCAGTTGAAGCTGGATAAACTCTAATTTGTTTTGTTGTAAAGGTTTATTATGTGCTTTCTTGGGTTTTGAACTTAAAAAGCACACTTACTTAGTTGTTTACTGGTTTCCACCTTCTTTCTTCTCATCTATAAAATATGTGGTTATCACAATAGCTCAGTTGTTATATTTCTAAAGTTTAAATCCAGCATGCTACTAAGCTTCGTCTTAAAATGTGTCATTCTATTTTCCATAGTGTATTAATATGAATACCGTGGATAATAGTAGAGGAATTCTGTCGGCTGTCATATTGTATACTTCTTAGTAATCCCATTCAGTGTTTATTCTTCTACTCGTTGAGGCTAATAGATTGCCCATATTTATGATTCAGTGGTCCTAGTAAGTGGTAAGTAACAGTGGGATTTTAATTGATTCCAAGAAATTTTTTCTCTTCTCTTCTCTTTATACAGATGGGTGCTTGCTTTATGCAAATATTTGAAGGTTGTCCGCTAAAAGTGAACTCCACAGCAACTTGGGTAAATCCAGAAACATTAAGTAAGCTGACATTTTCACAATTGGTTGATATTATGTCTTAGTAACAAGGTAAACAGACTAACCTTCTTCATTGTATGAAGTTTAAAGAAACGATTATTTATCACTACATAAGTAAAGTTGAAGAAATATGATAAATTTGTGTGATGAGTTAAATTATTTAGTGAATGAGTTGTAATCAGGATGCACATAAAAATGAGGGAAAATGTGACGCTACATAACCGCACAAAAGAATAGAAGAGTTGGAGTTCAAAAAAGACAAATCGGTTGGAAACAAGAGGGTCACTGCCATGATGGTAACAGTAGTCGAAGAATTCTCAGGTTTCTCTATCTAAAGCTTTCGCAATGCAAGGAAGGCAGGTTGCTCTTCACGTTGTTATTGAGATAAAATGGCCAGTGTTGACAAGGTGTTATTATTGCATACACTAGGGAGCCGCTACTACCTTACTACAATCATTCCGGATATCTTTTTTGAACCCTTTTAGACAGAATAAGCGTAGAACGATCAATACACATGAATCCATAAGAATAAGTGTATTCATATATATGCACACAGAAGCAGCCATATATGAGGTCTTGTCTTACAGGCCTTTGCAGACCAGTGGATCACTATAGTTCTCCTTCTAAAGCGTGATGAACAGAAATAAGTATGATAATCACATGTTTTGTTTCTTTTTATTTAATGAATTGTGTAACACTCGGTGTTAAGTGCAAAAGTAGACTTTTAAGGGAAATTCAAATATGTAACCAGCAGTTTAGTTAAAACTGACTATTCCAAGACTGATTGTACATTTATCAAGTTGTAAGCCACATTTCATGTGTGAAGTCTGATTATATTACGTAGTTCTGCTGGCTGAAGTGCGTCGGTGGCACAGTGGTTAGGACTCTCGCCGACCATGCACATGGTCCGGGGTTCGAACCCCTGCCGGCGCACACCCGATATCTATGGTATGCCTGAATTTGGGCAACCGATATCCATGCTGAAAGTTCCACACTTGTACTGAAAATACGGTGTGGAAATCAAGCTGTAAATCCAAAAAAAAAAAGTAGATGAAGCAAGCGATTCAAACCTTGGAACAATCGACTGAGAGTAGACTGTTGAAGCCAACTTGATACCTTTCGAAAAGAGGTAGCCGAGTTTTTTTAAAAAAAACACTATTTTTCCTGTGATAGGTTACAGCGTTATTCAGTTGGTGTGTTAACTTGACAAACTTTAAAACAATACCGTTTTCCTATCGCCCTAATGCTTTCGAGCCGTCAGATTTAACTTTGTTTTGGATATCTGTGCATTAATCCAAGTTGTGTGTTACTGTAAACATCGTATAAAGGAAAAATTGATTGGAAATATATATATATATAAGGGATTGACTGTCTTCTGTTGTTATTCGTAATGTATAGACATAAACACGATATGTTTTGCAGCATCCCCCTGGATATATTATTGGCATGACTATCATTCACCTAATAAGTCAGACGTACTACCTTATCAATTATGTAACTGCTTATCATCTTGATAAATAGCAAAGCAGCCATGATTTATTTTATTTTGAAAACAAAATAACTTCAGTGCTTACAAAAAAAACAACTAAAAATCTTATCCTGCTGTATTAATCGTAGTAGAACTTTCCATGTAGTAAATCTTAGGCTACAAGAGTGTCAAGTGTATAAGGGGTTAGAGCATCGGTGGCACATCGGTAGAATGCTCTCCAACTACGCATGTGGTCCAGGGTTCGATCCCCGGCCAACGCACTCCTCTACCTCACTAAGCCAGTAGTAAGACTGGTAAAGAGGGAAGGTTGGGCATGAAGCTAGCAACCCCATCCCGTAAAAACAAACACCACTACTACCGAAACTTCAAGTCTCTAGCCTGAAGCCCTATGTTCCACTGGGAACGTAAAGGAATAAAAAAACATGTGGGTTTAGAAAATGAATGACTGTATAAGCTTAATCCTATTCCCACCCCCCACCCCTCTTTTATTTCTTTCATTTATAACAGAATTAACTTCAAGTGTAAATTACTCATTTAAAAAAGAGTTAAACAGAATACTACACCGCATACACTTCCGACAATTTGAGAGTAATAAAAGATATCACTCCGTTTACACCAATCTTTTAACACACTGGAACTAAGCAATAAGTAAATGAATTAATTTCATACAATAAGCCGCATATTTGTCATCTAATCAATCTAAACCACTGACATTTTACCCGTGTTAACGAGTTTTTTTCGGTATTCACTAGAAAATATTTACATTTTATCGGTTACATTACTAAAACAATAACTTTTGTGATTTGTCACTCATCAAACTCGAAAGTGTAGCGGTTGTGAAAGTTACAATAATAGTAACTATTCTCCTTTATGCTATTTGATAGATGATTTACATGAGTGTTTTTTTAATGTGTTTTTCTATTCTTTTTTTTATGAAGGTCAGATTATTCTTTTTGGCACGAATGATGGTATTTATTACCTTGATTTAGTGAATTTAGCCGATGGTACATTAGAACTGGTAAGCTCATTACTTCTTTCTCCTTCTTTCCTTCTTCTTTAATAATTTTCCGCCATGTTTAAATTCATTTCGCCGTCTAGTTGTCGATTAATTGCTTATAAATCATGCAGTGCTATACACATACACACACACATACGGACACATATGTGAACACGCAGACTCACCTCTTTGGTATGAATAACACACACATGTGTAAACCTGACAGCTGTCATATAATGATTAGGAAATGTCTGCTAAAGGTTAGATAATAAGTGAACCATTAATGCTGCATGTGTAAATAAGGTCTTGGTAGTCGATATATACGGCTATCTTCGGTAATTCTTCTTCGTATATTAGAGAGTATTAAAATATCCTTTCAAAAATCTTCAAACCAATAGTATCTGTCATCTTCAATGTTTCATCTCACAGTGATACAGCTTAACGGTTGGTTAATTAATCAATGAAGTTCCTCAGTTTCAACTAAATTCTATCCATGATGTTCTCAATGTGAACATTGTGCTAAATAAAACTACGTTGCAATGAATTGTATTTTTACGGTAGATTTGATTGATGAGAAGCATGCGCGGGAGTTTTGAATTATTAGCGTTGATTTCCAATTAATAATACTTTTTTTTGATGTTTTTTTAAAAAAATAGAAATTGCATTGTATTCATTCCTTTCATTTATCGAATGTCAGTTTTATGTTTAGTTTATACGAGTGTGTGTGTGCTTGTACATGTATGTTAGTCCATTAAAGGATTTCTCTTTACAAGAGAACATTTTTAAGATAAAATAATTGTTTTTAATTTGAACACTAGTCAGTAACTAGTGTTATGCGTCTAGTCCTATGTTTGGTGCAAACTGAATTCTAACAATTTTCAAGTATTGGTTTTGTAGAGATTTTGCTTGATTGGTTGGAGGATTTCATCCTCAGCTGGCATCAGTTAGAGAACCATTGGAAAACCTGCAGGGAGTAATAGGCAGCTGTTTCGTCCTAATTTGGAACTCTTCGTCAGTACGCACCCACCGCATGGGCTCAAACTCAGGACCTTCTGGTTACAAGACGAGCTCGTAGACCATTAATCCACTGACACCCAATCCATTGACCGGCCCATGAATTCTAACCTTCTGCCAAAGCATACCTGAAAATCAGTCTTGATGCTCACTAGCGACTGGCCCTATTCAGGCAGTTACACCTGGGCTTCTAATGGGAAGCCGTGACCAGTAGGGTACATCAGCTTGATGGTGAGGCAGTAACTCATCGAAGAAGACATTGCAAAGTGGTCGCGCTATGTCATGAATTGGCGGAAGTTAAAATTCATGGGCTGGCCAATGGATCGGATCTCAGTGGCTTAATGTAATGGTCTACGAGGTAACTCGCTTTGTGACCAGTAGGTCCTGGGTTCGAACCCTGGCGATGGGTGCGTACTGCCGAAGAGTCCCGAACTAGAGCGAAACAGCTGTCCATTACTCCCTGCAGGTCTTCCAATGGTTCTCTAGCTGATGCCAGCTCATGATGAATTCTATCAGTTAATTTTGCAATGTGGCCACCATGCTAGGTGGCTCACCATCACGATGCACTGTGAATTGTTGGTATTGGATTGTTGGAGGCAATTGGCAGGAAGCCTTTGAGCTAGGTCTCGTGCTAGTTGGCACTCGTCAGCCAGGCCTATCTGCAACCTCGAAGGAACACATGTCCCTTTTTAGATTCGAACCCGCCTCACCCAGTGCCGCAGTCAGAGACGTTACCATTAATATCAACAATTCAAACTGCGCTGTGATGGTGAACCACCTAGAATGGTGGCCACATTGCAAACTTGACTGACAGAATTCAGTCTGCAGCAAAGACAGGAGTAGACTAGACACATAACACTAGTTACCCTTGCATTACATTCAAAATAAAGCCTAAATAAACATCTTATTTTGTTTGTTGTATCCATACAAGGAGTTACTATTTTGAATATCTTATTAGATATTGTCTGTGTTTTGTTGATACAAAACAGAATAAAATTTCCGCTTTCAAATTAATACATTTTCTAAAAATCCTTGCTTTCATCAGAAAAATAAGATTTTTTGTTTTGTTTCTAAGTTAAGATAAATTTATTCCCAGTCATCTCATATAAAAGTCATTTTCATTGCCTGCTCAGGAATATGAAGTAAACAATTTTCCAATAACTGAGTATCATAAGTATTCTAACCATGTTGCGTTCTTCTCAAGTGTGTACATTTTTAGAAGACGTATTTGTGCTTAAAGCACAAACTTCGCTTTTTTGTCTGCACTTAACGCGATCACACCAAATAATGCGATGTCGTAAGGATAGATTGACTATTTTGTATTTAATTCGTTCTAATCCCGGATATTTCTGGGTTAAATAATTTGTGAAGTTTAACAAAATTTCACGAAACTATGCTGTAGGTTTTGTGTGTGTGTTAAATTTTTCTAAAACATTCGGAAGAAATTAATTCATAACACGATAAAATACTTCAGTCCGATAGGAAGAGATCAACTTGAGGAATGAACTCAACTCATGTAACAGGCCGTGATTATTCACACTTATTGTGTGTGTGAGGTGTATAATAATACTTCTTATCGGTTTGTCCAGACTAAAGTAGGTGAAGCTGGATTCGAACCTGATACTTACTGGCTGAAAAATTGAGTGCTCAAGGTAATAGGTCATGTCTCTACCAACTTAAGGAATACATATTTCTGTTCTCAAAATCAATATCTCGAAATCTCCATCCTGCTTTTATTCCAGAGTCAGTATTTAACTATGAAACGTTCAGAATCCACTTCGGAGAAATTTAATCAATGTTTTTTAAAATTCATCTCGAATCAATAATTTCGCCTTTTTGATTGGCTAAAGAATTTCGTAAGATCTACGTAAATTTAGCGAATGTTTTCTGTCCACTTATACAGTGAGTAGTGAAATTTAATAGTTGTCTTCCAGGGTAACTATTAACATCCTGTGACGGTACGAACTAACAAATCTATAAGAAATATATCCAAGATGTTTCGCTAAGTGATCGAGTTTTAAGCCATCTCATGTTAAAATAGTTAACTTTATCATACAAGATGATTCATGTATTCCGTGTATTAATAACACAAGTTATTTTACTTCATCAAAATATGGCTATTTATCTTATCGATTTTCAAGTGTATTATCGATTTAATCATTTTGAAATAAAGTGAAATTTGTATGCCAAATCCTACTTATAGCTTAATAAGTACCTCCGGAACAGTCTTTTCATCTAAAAAGTTTGTCTCTTGTATCCGTGTATTGTGTTCTGTAACGCTCGACCACCGCTTTTTCTTCCTTCACTTTTACTTCATTGTATATTGTTCTGTGAAAATATCCTGAAAATAATATCATCTCTGCCGTTCAATGCACCAACCAGCAAAATACCATCTTGAATCTTTCTTCGTTAGCACATCAATGTATTATTATTTCTTTAAGTTCCGAATGAACCACAGGGCTTCAACATCACATTTCCATTTCATCTTGTTCTCTGCAGTTCTTTTTAGCCGACTCACGATTGACCATAAACTTTCATCTTCTCCTCCATGTCACCTTTGAACCAATTCCCAAATCACTGTTCTCCATGTGGGTTTCACTCTAAGGCCTGGTGCGTTGTCACTCAACGGTTTCCTTAGTGTATATACAGTCCACCTCCTTCTGCATATTTGTTGGGCAATAGGTTAATTGGTGTTAGTTCTTGGTTTCTAGAGTTCCTTGTTCCTAATCCATTCTGGCCATCTGAAGTGAAGACATTGATAAATGAACGCTTATAGCCTCTTGGAAGTGCCTTTTGTCAGTCCCTAAGTGTTGAAAATCCGATTCTTATTCGTCATGTTGAGTGCAATAGATTTCAGATTGATGAAAGTTTCATTTTGCCTTTCTGACCCTGCTTTTGCACTCGTCATCTGTGTTGCCTGTAGTTGTTGAAACCGTGCTGCCTAGATAAGTGAAAGAAGTGACCTCTTGTTCCTTTTTTTCATTCTGTTTCACTAACATATAAATGAATAAATAAAGTGGATAAAAGTGTCTCGTAATTTTTCACTCTCAACAATTTATTATTGACCCAGCACTGAAACTAAGTAGTCTAAAACACACAATGACTTTGTTTTTAGACATAATTTGTTCACAGTTACTCAGTTGAAATTATCGTCTATAGTGATTATGTAAAATCAAAAATCCATTTCACTTATAACTAACTAACTAGTCAGCTGTCTTATCGATCAGCAAATGAAATTTGATAATCAGACAACAACTATGTACACGAGAAAAAGCAACAACAACAACAACATATGCTTGAAAAATATCCGTAATATTATTACTGTATGTGAATTTTGACACCATCAGTGTGTGTGTGCGTGCGTGTTTTGGGGTGGGGTGGGGGCTTTGACCACAGAAATTCCTCGCGTAAATTTTAGCCATTTTCGCAACTACTTCTTGTCTTACTGAAACTCTAGTTGTTGTTTTTGTTGTTGATGTTGTTTTTTCTTAACAAAAAATAAGAATAAATTGAACAATTCAACCAAGTCGACTAATTAAAAATTCTGATTGTGTTCATTCGCATTAGCTGACCGACTTAGTTTAACACTTAGTCTATACAGGAGTCACAGTATATCCTATGCACTACTTTCTTGTCAATATAAATAAATCTATGTCACTTTAATGCATGTGGACTTTTTTGTTGTTGATATCTTCACTTTTGTTTTAATCGAATTTTTAAAAATTTTGGATACTATCCGAGTTAAAGTGTGTGCAATTCAAAATGCACACGGTATTTGTTTGTTTTTCGCTCCACTTGGTGGGGTTTTTCTCAGTGTCATAAGTTTTTCAAGCATAAACAGAAATTGTATCTTAATAAGTATAGGTTAACTAAGATCACTGTTACTGACAGCACTAATCAGTTAAGCAAAGACTGTGTATCTGTTAATGAATATGACACTATCACCCAAGCGTTTTCCAGGTAGATATTGTCACTAATCGACATGATGATTTAGAGCACCATTCAAAGACTAAGTATTGAATGCTGTTTTATCCTGATTTAAAAGGGTTAGTAGTAGTAGTAGTAGTAGTAGTAGTAGTAGTAGTAGTACCTAAAATGTTGCCATGTTGTTCAGTACGTAGGAATTAACCTTCTGTCTGTATACTGGCGACTAAGTCTTCTTCCGAAATGAGAAAATTCTCTAAGTCAAACACTTCAGCTTATCAACATATCAACTGTAGTAAAAATGCTGAGAATTCCATTCTGCATCACAAGTACTATTTTGGAATAAAACAAATTATTCTCGACACACTGTCGTTTAATTGCTTCTTCAGCCGGCTGTGCTATAAATTATTCATGAGAATGCAATTCTCACTTTAGGTGGAAGTTAACAACCTGTACTACTTGATTAGGATAAATAAATCACGGCACCGTTTTCATACAGTCCTTCTCGTGTTGGAAATGGGGGCTAGTAAAGATCAGTCTTTTCAAAGTGAGTAGACGTGGGCTGCCTGTTCACCTGGCATACTTCAGTAGAAACAGCGTAGAGCTTCGTTATTTTATTGTTTGATATTGATGTTTTGTAGCATAAAAATCCCAATTGAGTCATATGAAAAAGAGAAGACGTTCAGCGAAGAGACTCTTTTCGGCGATTTCATTCACATAGCTGTAAAATCGTATTTATATACAATTATTTTGTGTGTGTACATGAGGTTTGTCAAGTTTAGATAATTAATTAGGTAATACAAGAATGATCTAATATAGAAACAAGGTTAATTAGACAGCAACTAAAGTAAGATTGAGTTAGTAAGTTAGATGACATAATATAATTGACTAAAATGTTTCAACTTATGTCAGGATAGTAACAGAGGTAATAAGAGGTAGAGACTAAGTAAAAGTGGGGTAAAGAATAATTCCACTTAAATTAAGACTAAAATTGAGCAAATAAGTTGGATGACGTAACATAAATGATTAGAAATTGGACGTTGGTCAAGTCAGTAACAGTGGTAATGAGGTGTACAAATTAAATCGGGTGGGGATAGAGAACAGGAAGTTGAAGATGTAAAATATTACAATTGAAAAAACGAAATAATACTAATGAAGAGACAGAAAGAAATAGAATTTACCTATCGGGTATTAAGATAGATTATGTCCATTGCAGGTGTAGTGATTAAACGAACTTCTTCTGTATGCAAAGTTCAGGACTTAGCAAGTGAATTGCCATTGCTTCTGCAGTTCGAAGAAGTCTGACTCGTACACTTTTAGGAAGACTACTTCTTACTCTGTAGACGACTTTGAAGTTTGATTGGGGTGTAGCTTGGTGTCCGGAATCTAATAGATGTTCTAAGATAGAGCTGCGGGGGCATTGTTTTTCTCCTTTGTAAAACCATGCTGGTAGGTGTTCGGTGATACGTTTTTGGAAAGCGAACGCTGGGTACGGCCGACATACGTGGCTCCACACGAGCAGGTGAATTGGTAGATACATATTGATGAGGCCAGCAGTGGTAGCTTATCCTTCACGTTCATACGAATCATAGGTTTCGTGGAGAAGGTTAATCGTAATTCAGCTGCAAAGAAGGTTTTCTTAAGTGGATGGGACAGTCGATTTTTCAGTGTTTCCGCAGATGAATCTCCATTAAATTGAAGGTTCATGTTTCGAAATCACATGTACTCCTTTTTCTCAATACAAATATATATGTATAATTGTTTTTTGTTGTTATTATTATTAGCTTGTGCCAAGACGATGTCTCTGGTTATTTGTCTTCAAAGACACAATGATGTCTATATCAGGTCAACATCCACAGTTATTCAGTCATAATTTAATCTCCTTGATGAAAAATCGAACTTCACAAACACGATTTCTTCATAAGTAAGTTTTGTTGTTCTTGTTATTGTTTCCTTATATGCTATTGTTTCAAAGTCATGAGATTGAAAACTCTTATTCTTGGTACTAGATGGTTGAAGGCAATCGGCAAGAAGCCTTCGACCTAGGTTTCGTGCTAGTTGGCACTCATCATCAAGGCGTATCTGCAACCTTGAAGGAACTGATGTCCCTTCTGAGATTCGAACCCGCCTCACCCAGTGCTGCAGTCAGAGACGTTACCACTGAGCTATTCAGGCTCGCGACTGACTTCCTGTAGGCTAGTGTTCAAACATCTCCACTTTGTTCTGTTTTCTGCTGTCCTCTTCAGGTAGGTCCGCGATTGCCCAAACTCCCTCATCTCTTCCTCTCCACACGATCTCCTCCATGTCACCCTCGAATTGACGACCCACTTGTCGCTTCCCACTTGGATTTCACTCGAGCAATAACCTGCATTTTTCCCAATGTCATTCGACGGTTTCCTCAACGTATGCCTGATCCATCTCCACTTTCTCCTACATATTTGTTGAGTGATCGGCTCTTGGTTGGTTTGTTCCCACAGTTTCTTGTTACTAATTCTTTCTGGTCGGCCGGCCATTTGATATTTAGCATGGAGGCAGTGAAGGCAGCTGTTGATAAAGGTCTGCACTAGCCTGTTGGAAATCCTTCCCGTGACGCAGGCGCCAAGTCTCTGACCTATAGAGAAGGACCGACTTGACATTGGTGTTGAAAATACGAATCTTGTTCCTTATGCTGAGTGCGGAAGATTTCTAAACTGGTTTCAGATTGATGAAGGCGTATCTTGCCTTTCCGAAACTGAATGGTTTTGACATCTTCATCCGTACCATTCACCTGTGGTTGAAACGATGCTTCCGAGATAAGTGAAGGAAATAACCTCTTTCAGACTCTTTCTCCCGTTGATGGTGATTAGTGCTGATTGTTGTTGATGCTGCTGTTTGTTGATTATCTTCATCACCTCCGTCTTCTCTGTGTTCACCTGCAGTCCTGTTTTCGCTGCTAGCTTCTTCAGCCAGTTTGTTGCTTTTCGCCTGTAAGTCTTCAAGTTTGTGTGACATTAGATATATATCGTCTGAGGTAACCAGATCTTCTAGTGTCTTCTTATCGGTGGTCCAGCGTATTCCTGTCTTCTCACTCCCTGTGCACAGTCTGACGCATAATCCAGTCCACCACAATTAAGAATATCATCGTGGGTGATAATAGGCAGCCTTGTTTTACTCCTGTATTCACTTCGAACGCCTCATTGAATTTTCTGTTGTGGATCACTTGACACGTGGTGGCACTTTCATATAGCTGTTGAATTAGGTTAACAGAGGCTTAAGGTACGCCGTAGTGTTGAAGTAGTTTCCAGATTACTTATCGGTGAACGCTGTCTGTCGAAGGCCTTTTCGAAGTCGATGAAGTCGAGGTTTGACTGCCATTCGATGCTTTGTTCGATGATGACGATGCGTAGAGTTGCAATTTGATCAGCACATGATTTGCCTCTTTTGAATCCAGCTTGTTCTGGTCGGTGTGGCGGAGTGCTGTATTCAGTGCATCTTTTATTCTCTCCAGGATGATGCGACATAGTATTTTACTTGGCGTGGACAAGAGCACTATTCCACGCCAGTTAGTTCTTGCAGAGGCGTAAGTCGCCCTTCTTTGGCAGTTTGACAAGGTAGCTAGCCCTTCCAATAGGTAGGTACCTTTCCTTCTTTCCAAACCTTTTGCAATAATGGCGTAGGCACATCTGCTGTAATCTCTTGGGCCATCATCAGGGTTTCGGGAGGAATTCCGTCTGGTCCTGCTGCCTTTCCAGCTGGCTTTCAGTAGCTTGATTACACTCTGGATTTCTGGTTTCGTTGCAGGATTGGTGTCCACTGGTAGGCAGCTCTGTGCATACTGTTGGTGGTGGTATATTTCTGCGCGTGTTGCAGGTGAAGGTTAACTCAAGAGTCCTTTAAAGTGATCAACCCATTGTTGTATTTGTTTCTCCTCCTGCATAATCAGGTTCCCTTGAGCATCTTTTATTGGTTTCATCATCTGTGTTGTTTTCTTCCCGGATACAAGCAACCTGGTTATCTGTTATAATGTCCTGATGTCTCTACCTGTGGCCTGCCTGTTCTGCTTCAGTTGCCGGTCAGTGTTTCGTAGAATTGTCCTTTGTCTCTCCTAGCACTCTTCATTCCTTTATTCTGTCCAGTGTACATTGAACTCAGCATCTCCTTCTGTTGTCCATCTTTGTATTGAGTCATCTTCTCTTTCACTATCCTTCTCTCCTCGATTAGCTTCCAGGTATCTGTTGACAGCCATTCCTTGTCTTATCTCTTCCTTCTTCCTAGAACAGTTGTACACGTTTCCTAAAATATCACCTTGAGAGAGTTCAATGTTCTCCCACACATGTTTCTTCGGCGATACCACATAGTGTCTCTGACTTTGCTCTTATCTGATCTGTAGTGAAGACATCCCACTCAGTTTTGTCCTTCAGTTTCTGACTGTTGAACTTGAATTTTGGTCCGTCTCCATTTGTTTTGATGGATTTCAGCTTCATCCTTAAGGTTCCTTGAACCAGATGATGGTCTGAGCCCACACCTGCTCCCCTTCTCGAATTTGTATCCAGCAGGCTGCCTCTCCACTTCCTTGAGCAGCATTGAGATGAAATCTATCTGTCCGTCCGTCAGGTGAAATCCACTTCGCTGGCCTTGTGTATATACTTGTGCTTGTACATAATGCTTCCAATCACCAAATCATTGAAAGAGCAGGAGTCTGTGAATAATTTATTTTTTTTAAATTTATTTTTATTGTAGCTTGACTCCACACAGTACTTTTGATACAAGTATGGAATTTTCAGCATGTGATATCGGTAGCCCAAATTTATCAGGCCCGACCATTGGTATCAGGTGTGCGTCGGCCGGGGATCTAACCCCGGACCACTCATTTCTCCAAGAGACTTTTGACCCATGATGAGTTCTCTTCCTCTATTGTCTGCTCCTGGATTGACATTCATATTGTCGATAAGCACTTTGATGCCGCCATTCGGGATGTTGTCCATTACTGTCTGCAGGTGTTTATAAAAATCTTCCTTCTTTTCTTGTTCCACGTTGTTTGTGTGTGCGCAGCAGTGGATAATTGCAACCTTCCTTTTTTCCTTCCTTTTGAGTTGAATCTTACTGTCATGATCCTGGATGAAATTGGTTCCTAATGCATTGGAGCTTTGGCTGTTATCGTTGACATCATCGTAGCCACTCACTACCTCACTGTGCTCGTGGTTGTCGTCTGGGTGACCGGAGTAGATTACTGACTCTCCAGCTGACAATTTTGATAATCTACGTCCATTCCATCTGCTTTCGCAGATACCCCAGCCCTTATAGGCCATATCTACGAATTTCGTTAGCAACTTCGGCAGCCTTCCCTGTCTCGTACACTTTACGGATATTCCACGTCCCCACTCTTTTTCTTGTTTCAATTGGGAGAAGAAACACTGGCTGGCCTACTGGCTTCTCGAAGGCTTTCATCAGCCCGCTATGTCATTTCCCCTCTTCAACTGGAGTGAAAAATAAGATTGCCGTTATTTGAATTTTTTGTATTTTTAATATATTTTGTGTGTGTGTTGAAGTTTCTCTAACGGTTTGAAAGATTTAGTGATGTGTGGTTGCTAGCCCCATGCCCAACCCTCCCTATTTACCCGGGCTTGGGACCAGCTAGAAAACTGGCAAGCTGGTTAACTAGGCGAGGTTATGTTATGCATTAGTATTCATTAAACTCTCAGTATGTTTTTTGACTATCTTCGGATGTTATCATTGTCTTCTAGTCATCATTATTATCATTCTAATTGATATTCGAAATCACACCTTTTTATTAGAAGTGTAGAAAATAGCCACTAAAACTAGGTGATATATATATATATATTAAAATTCAAAACGTTTTTGGAGTATTTAATTTCTAGAGGAAAAAGAACAAAAAGTTCAGCAAAGATATCTTTTCGATAATTCCATTTTCAAAAGCTGTACAACTGCATCTGTACATAAGTTTAACTCCATTATGGATAAGATTTTATTTTGATAAGTCACACAGTGTTATACAGTAATATTAACTGATGATGTTTCGAGCACAAATTATTGGTGCTCATAATCATATCAAGTTACTAACACCACTTTTTCCTTCATTTATATACATGTGTGGAATTGACTAGTATTTTAAATAGAAATCAATATAGGATAATGCGCATTCAATTCACGTACATCATAACATTCTAACAAGTTACTTATTCTGACTATAAAAACACTCGTCTTGTTTCCCATCTGATTGTATTTGATCAATAACAACCATATTATTATTTCTGAATGTACATTATCCTATATTGATTTTTATTTAAATATCTAGTCAATTCCACACATGTATATAAATGAAGGAAAAAGTTGTGCGAGTAATTTGATATGATTATGAGCAATAGTTTGTGCTCGAAACGTCATCAGTTAACACCGTGTGATTTATCAAAATAAAATCTTATCCATAATGGAGTTATACTCTACCATAGTGCCCAAGTTTTATACTTATATCAATAATACATAAGTTTACATAGATGCAATTATGATTTATTTAATTCCACATAGTAACAAAGGAGATTAAGGGTCATAATAATTTTCAACTTGATATGAAAGTTTGAAGGTGTGAATATAGATTACAAAGGGCTTGGGAACATAATCATACAAGATTAGGAAATATTCTTTATAACGACTAAAGGTGTGAATGGGATAAGCGTAGGATTAAGTTGAAAGAATAATATTTTAAAACTGAAAAATAGGGGAATGAAGGGGATGAAAAAACGGAAGCAAAGGAGACAAACCGAACTAAATCCATGGTAAATGTAGGGGTTGAACCAGTTTCTTTTGAACACACAGCTCCGGTTTTCCGAGGCATATGGCGAGGGCTTCTGCAGTACAAATAGGTCGAAAACACACTGCTTTTGATAGATTTTTGTTTACTTTGTAAATGACTCTGAATGATGAGTC